TCAATCCTAGAGCTTCCTTAAGCGCAGCCTATAATAATTAGCTAGATCTCTACGGTTGATTTAGGTAGCCGGAATCTATAGCCGGCAGCTATAGCCGGCAGCTATAGCCGGCATTTTAGAAGATATACCTCTTTCTAGAACGCTATATCTACATCAACTCTCCTCTCTCCTTAAGATTCCCGATACCGTTTAGAATAGAGATAGTTCGTAGGCGATGAGTTCCTATCCCCTAGTTTCGGGTGTTTTAAGATTGAACCGTAGAAGTTGTAGACAATTACTAGTTAACCTTTAAGTCGAGAAGTCGTATAACGGTATAATGCCCCCTCTATAAAGAACTTCTAGAATGTGTCCGTTCGCTCCTTACTCCCCTATCGCATCGAGTACTTCCGGAGTTTACACTCCTTCGAACGTAAGTATAAAGGGAACTATATCTTATAGACCTATTGATTAAACTGCTCTATATACTCGGGTTTCTAAAGATACGCCTAGCTAGCCTTTTCGAAGATTTCCGGGTTAATACTCGATGTTCTTATATCTCCGAACAACCTTCTACTTAGACTCCGTAAAGGTGAGGACTAGGTAGTAGTACCCTATAATGAATTCCTACTACTAGGATTCGGAGAGGATGAATCTAGCCCTAATCGTCGTCTAGGACTCGATAGGCTCGAAGGTGAGTATGCGACCTCCTCTCGACGTTGTCGCAATCTCGCTCGTATACTAGACTGTTTCGACTGTCGTCTCGTTATTACCCTTCCTAGTGTAGCGCCTAGTGTATAGACAATGTCGGTCGGCATATTTTGAGGTTTCGTACGGTAAGGTAAGGACTTAGGAGTAGTAGATGTGTACTAGTAGCTATAGAGAAACACCCTTTCTTTTATAGCATCGTATCGTTAGGAACAGCTAGGCAGTAAATAGCTAGCCACCTTTTTTTTTTGCTTCCTAGCTACCTAACTACTAGATTTTTTTTCCTAGCTACCCTAGCTAGCCTAACTACTAGAATTTCTTTCCTAGCTACCCTAACTACCTGAATTTTGCCTTCTATACGGCGGCTCTCTCCTACTAACGGAACCGAGCTACTATACCTAACGAATCTAAGCTCGTTTTTAGTCTCAATCTATCCTCTTTCGGTATAAGACACTCGACAAGCAAATGCTTAGGCCGAGTCTGACTACGAAACCTAAGACTAACTAATAGCTCTATTAACTAATCCTAATCCTCGAACTCCTTCCGCTTCTTAGTAAAGACCTTAAAGAGCGCTCGAGCTTCTTCGGGTGCCTGCGGAGTAGTCGAGATAAAGCCGTATCGCTGAAATAGGTAATCCTTCGGAGGCTTATATAGAGATTTAGAGAATTCCAACGCTAACCTATCCTACTAGTAGCTTAGATTCCGGATATAAGCCCTCTCTGCCTTAGTAAAGATTTCATATAGCAGTAGCACTCTGCCTTCGAGAAACGCTTTCTGTTTAACTATTAGTATCTGCCGGCTACGAACGCCGGCTATATATGCTAAGCATAGAATAATTACCTGTACCCCTTCCTCCTATAGTAATACTTCTGCCGTCCCTAGATACCTAGCCCCGATCGCATTAATCGCAAGCCACTTTGCCTTTATAGACGTAAAGGCTTCGCTCTAATACTAATAAAGAAACTTCTACTCTATATCGAGGATATAAAGACGACTAGTCTCGATTCCAATCCTTGCTAGCTTTTCGTAGTAGCTTTAACTATGATTTTCTAGATTAATAGGACTTATGCCTTAGCCCTTTACTAGTATCTCGTCTCTTTGACTATGCTCGATCTACTCCTAGCGCTTATCGTCTATAGCGTTAGGCCCTAAGACTGCACCTGTTACTAGATCGACGTATAGTATCTCCTCGCTTTTTTTAGTTCCTTTATTCGTAGTATTAAGCTCTATCGCGGCATCCTAAACTCTAGCATTGTTGTTCTCGGCTATCTAAACATCTCCGTTACTATCGGTCGTATCGATAGAGGTAGCGACTATAGGTCTGAATGCTATTAGTTAACGTGTTAAAGAAAAATATGCCGGCTACAGCTGCCGGCTACGGCTGCCGGCTACGGCTGCCGGCTATAGCTGCTAGCTACGGCCGCTAGCTAGATTGACTTACGCTGCTAGAACTTCACGCTCGAAAACTGGCCGCAATTCTTTCCTCCTCTTAGCCTTCTCTTAGGTTGTCTTCTTATTCCAACCTTTACTTTTTTCTATAGGCGCTAGCTATCGATAGAATGCCTTATTCCGCGCCTTTCTTCTCTTATCCTTAGCTCTTTTATCTTTATCTATCTTGTCCTTTCTCTCGCGGTCTCGTACGGAATTCTTCTTCGTAGAGTACTCCTCTTTAGTCTTGCGCTTTTTAGTTGGACGCTTAGGCAAAACAAACTCGCGGTCTTTAGTTCTATCTTCTGTTTAGCGCGCGGCGCGCTTCTCTCTTGCTATTATAAGGGAAAGGGGCGGGGGCGCAGCGTATAGTAGTTGTTGTCGGTATAGGTATAGAGGAAGAAGTTGAAAGTGTAAGAATATCGCGAAGCCCTAATTGTTGCCGCCTACGTAACGTTATACAGGTAAGCTTTCGCAACTACGGTAACTACGCCCCGGCAACAGCAACTACGCCCTAGCAACGGCAACTACGCCCTAGCAACGGCAACTACGCCCTAGCAACGGTAATAAAGCGTAGTAAATACAACCTAGTAACTATTATAGCCGGCAATCGTAGCCGGCAGTCGAATAAGAGTGTCCTTATAGCAAAACCACGCCCTAGCAACGGCAACTACGCCCTAGCAACGGTAAAAGAGCGTAGTAAATGTAACAGAGTTACTATTATGGCCGGCAATCGTGGCCGGCAGTCGAATAAGAGTGTCCTTGTAGTAAAACCAATACAGTCTCTAGTTCAAACTAGGAATCTATATAGTTCGAAAAAACCAAACTAGAACTAGGGAGCTAGTTCGCCGCCAAGAAACCAAACCATATACGTTTAGTGGTTCGGAAACCGAACTACTGCGGGGTCTAATTAAACTTGCGCTTATATTCTTTACCTTTATAAAGAGCGGCTTTAATAGATAGGTCGTAAATAGCCTAAGCCTCCTTTATAGGGAATAACGAGAATAGGTTAAATAAGGGCGATAGCAAAGCGAGGTCCGTTAGAGCCGGCTTTAGATAAGAACGTCGGAAGTTATAGCGAGATTGTATAGCCTTACGCAATACCTTAATCGTACGAGGGCTTGTCGAAGTAACGAGCAGCTATTATAGCAATTCGGGGGTCGGTATGCGACTATATCGGTTTAGTAGAGGCGACGATAATATGCCCTAAGCAATTAAGTTTCCGAGGTCCTCTTTAACGTAGCGATTATTAGCGTAAGACTAGCTATTTAGGTTGACAATAGCGGGATTAGCAGAACGGCCTTGCTTAATAGTAATAAGGTGTTCCTCTATCGCCTCCTCTACTATCGCTAAGGCTTCTATTTGCTAGGCTTCTTCCTATTCTAGCGACTCCTAAATTAATTCCTAGTTCCAATCTCTAGTAGTAGTACTATACTGTTCTCGAATGTGTCGATAAGGGACCTCCCTATCTACCGGGAATATGCCTGTCTTACGGAATGCCGACCTTATATTATAGGAAGTAAATGTCCTCGCCCGAATAGTAGAAAGAGCCTCTACAAACTCAGGTATTCTAAAGTTACTAATACCGTAGTGTATAGCCTCGAGTACTACTTGTCTATACCTCGTCTTATATACTTAGAATAGTATAACGTCTAATAGCTATATAAAGTGTAAAGTGTGTAGTTATAGGCCCTATAATTGAATCCTATATCTCTTCGCGAAGGCAGCGAATTCCTTAAAGTAGTAAGAGCTATAATTGTTATATAATAACAGCCTCTATTCGCTCGGATCGTTAGGCCTCGTCTTGCGCTTAAACTAGCGGATGTAGTGCATTGCAGTGTCGTCGGTTATATATCTAGACTCGTTAATAGTAATTAAGAAGTTGTCCTTGCCTAATAACGAGGGTATAGTTAGTAAGTAACGTTGTTATTGCCTTAGGTAGTAGACTTACCTTCCTTCGGCACCTATCGTTCTTATACTATTATACCTTTAACAATTAACTAATAATCTATTACATTACTATACGCGTTAGCTGTCTCGACGATAGTAACGTAAGTACGATTAGTATCGCATTTAGTCTATATACGGCGCTTCGTATCCTGCGTTACTACGTATTCGCAGCCTCTAATTCTAATCCGAAAACTAGTTTCGTCGAAATTCTATATATTCTAAGGCTTTACCTTTAACCGCCGTAATATAGCTTTAAATCGATTAAACTACGACCTTATAACGGCTAGATCGTAGGCCTCTTTGCGCTGTTTCTCGATCGGTTTAGATTTAACCTTGCTAAGGCTATGTCGAGCTAGGAAGCGGTCCGCCTAGTCTATACTAAATAGTGCTATTGCGAGGGCACTGTTACTAGCTGCTAGCGAGTCCTTTAGTATATCTATAGTAACTACTATAATAAGCGACACTAGAAGAAACATACCTATAGCGTCTCTTTCTCGACAATAGTCCGCTAGCGCTAATTCCTAGCTCTTACTAAGTTTGGTGTTAGTTAGCTCGCGACCTAGGTATAAACTACGACCTCGCAATCGCTAATAAATACGCGAATATAGGCCTTCGGCGCCCTCGCTCTTATATAGTTCTTTTAGACTAAAGCGCCTGTCTTATAACCTCTATTCTTAAGCCTTTAATACAACCCTTTCTACTACCTTCTCGAGCCTCTTAGTCTCGGTAAGCCGTTTAGTACGTATGCGCTTCTTCCTTCTACCCTTCCGAGCTACTATATCGACGGTAATAGCAATAGTAGCGAATACTATGTTATAAAGAGATAGAATACGCGCTAGAATAGAGGTGGACGCGCCTGCTAAGGGATTATATAATAATCGGCGGCAGTGAGGTCTATAGCTACTATATACTCGGATAACCTCGCTAATATAATATTTAGACTCGCGGTTCAATACTGCATACACCTGGATATCCATATGGGACTGGAACCTACCACCATATCGATGTTTACGTATGGCCTACTAAGAAAAGCCGATTTTACGTATGGACCAAATCCCCGCGATCAGCGGGGTGAAGTGACTGAAGAAACCCCGGATATATCCTGCCTTCGCGATCTGCATCTCCACAGTGTCCACAGCGGAATCATAGTATCCGGGGTACAATTCGGTGTTATTGTAACTCTCACCACCATTCGGCATAACAACTGTACAAACATAGCTGTTTCCGTCTCGAGCCCAGATCACGGCTGTTGATATCGGATCGGAGACATCAATGCCTTTCAGCCAAGCTTGTTTTTGGTCCGCGTACTTTCCAGAATCAATCTCTGCGACCAAGTCGTCTGCCCAGCTGGCGGCTTCCTCAAGTCCATATCCTCCTCGAAGTTCTTCTGGAATGCTCGTGTCCCAAGCAGCATGCAGATTTGTATCCTCGCCTTCGAATGTAACGTCGATGCCATTGCCGCCGATTTCGTATGCCTCGTCGTGAAGAGGTTGTGAGATGTCACCCGAAAAGTGGACGATCCATCTCAGGGCGTAGTTGCGCTGAAGAGCATCCAGGTCCGAGCCCTGAACGCGTTGTGTGTAATTTGCAATGGCCGACACCACGCATCCTTCGTCTGAACAATCTCGCTCGTAGTCAACATTGCAAGAGGTAGGCGGGTCATCGTTGGCATCAATGTAGTGGAAAGCGGCACTGAATTCGCCCTCTGCAGTGTAACGGTATGAGTCGGCCCAAGTCGCGATGCTGGCCAGGTAAGAGGATGATGTATCGTTTAAGATAGACTGTGCCCATGCTGCTGTCGTGTCACAAACATAGTGTTGTGCGATGTAGGCGATAGTTTGATGTCCAAGAGAGCCCCAGGCGTGAACGTTTTGCAGACTTGCAGAGCCTAGCAGGATATACTGTGTGGTTTTCATGGCTTCCGGTGGTAGAAGGACATCAAGGTGGATCGCGAAGTGAATAGAGGAAGTGCATAGAGGAAGTGCATAGTTTTAAGCATCGTTGAACTTGCCACAACTTCTCGTGACACCTGCCTATCGCATGTTCATCTTTGTCTTATCTCAGCCAAGTCCAATCGTCTCAAAACTTGAGTCGATCGTGTTCCTGCATGGGCGGCGACGATGCTTGATGAAGCAGGTCATCGGCGCGTGCGGCACTTCAGACCTTGTCGCCAAGCGATTCGTCCGACCAATGAAATGCGATCCGCTTCCAATCACATGAACATGGTTGAAACAAGAACCAGACGATCTGTACGTGGTGTCAGGCGAAGTCCGTTGGGCATAGTCACGTATGATGGCAGACACATGTTCGGCGGCTGCGAGTGGAGTGGAAATACTTCGTCTCCGTGGCAATAGCCATTGTAGTCGAAAATTGGGTATCTTTATCTTTTGCACGCTTTTATTTGATGCATTCCGAAAGATCATGGTTTTGTGCTGCTGCTGCTCCAAGCCTGCCGGAATAGCTTCGAGAGCCTCTCTCCTTGTGCTTCGTCCTTCAGCCTGGTGGTCAAGAAGCCTTGTAAATCGCTCCAGAAATGGTCAGTGTTGATTATCGATTCTGGCGAGTCGTCCGAGGTGTCCATTTTCTCAGCTTCTACCGCAGCCTTCTCACTTTCAGGAGCGGGTGTCTTCTCATCTACTTCCATCTTGTCTCTAGCTAGTGGAGCTGGCAGAGCTTGCGGAGCTGGGGCTTTCTCGACGACCGCCGGACTATGAGCTCGAGGTGTACTACCAGCTCCTCCTAGAATCATGATACTAAACTCGACGTCCTTTTCTACTCCAAGATCTTTGAGCGTCTTCAAATCTTGCGCAGGTTTCTTGTTCAGCAGCAACTTGATCTTATCTTGCTGTAGACCCGTTTGAGAGGCATACTGGCTCTTGAGGTCGAATATGGTAGAATCTAACGCGATATTTGGTAGCGTCACAGTCTCGCCCGCTTTCATCGGCTTCAGTGTGGCAGAAATGGTCTTCGCGTGCGCTTGCTGCGTGGAAGTAGGGCCGGTCTTTCGTGGATATGGATGTGTTTGCTTCGGTAGAGTGTACTACAGAGACTCAGCATATGTCCATGTCCATTTCCACCCCCTCAAAGGAAAGCATACCGGACTCTGGTTCGGATACTTTCTAGGATCGCTGACATGGTCGGCTGGCAGCTTGATGGCTTTCTTGTCGAGTGTCGCCAGGAAAGACTTGGCAAACGTGACTTCAGACATGATGTGCCGTTCGAAGCGCGCGTACAGAGTTTCGTTCTCGAAGTGAGCCAGCGTGTCAGGGTGAAGTGTGTGATGGTATGGGTTGTTGTAAAGCAGTAAACTTGGCTGGGATGCGGGCGCGCACGGGCAGGATGACGATGGAAGCTTTGGTCCCCTAGAGCTTGAAGGGGCGCGACTATTCGCAAATCAGCCCCGGCTATTCATAAATCAACGGACCCAGGGCCGCTCCGGTCTCGGTGAGACCATATTGTTAGTAATCTATATAGTATAATATCGCATAGAGACTTCTAATAGCTATACTAGCTACTAAGTAGAATTATAATATAGGAAAGAGGAATTAGGTAAATAATAGATATCTATAGATAGAATTAGATCCTATAGCTAATCTTAAGATTCTTAACTTAAACTACCCTAGGTATACTACCTACCTAGCAAATAAGACTCTACTACCCTTATATTAACGTATAGCTCCTACTATACTAAATTAGTATAGCCTAGGATACCCGCTAGCGCTATAAGTACTAGCGGAGTTCTTAGAGATAGCGGAAGTTAGAGTCCTTTATATATAGCCTAAGGTAAATAGGTAGATACTAGGCTTCTATTATATAGCCTATACTAGTAGGAGCCTATATAGTAGTCTATATTGTTTTTAACGTACTTATATCTCCTATAGGCTATCTTATATATATAGCCCTTACGTAAAGGTTGCCGTAGTACTAGTAGTAGTAGAAGTAGAGTAGACTAGAAGGCTTCTAGGCTTAGCCTATCTTATCGCTTCTTACTAGTCTATAGCCTTAGTAGCTTACTAAATAAGCTTAGGTCTAGTTGCCTTATACTAAGTCGACTATATAAGCCGCTTATTAATCTACTTAAGTAGCTCTAAGCCTAAGGTATAGTAATATAATAGCGATAGTAAGGTAGACAATAGCTATCTAGCGGTAGAGGATATAACTAATAAATTTATTTAATTTACCCTAGGCCTTCTCTACGATTGGACGACTAATTTATAAATAGCCGGGGCTGATTTACGAATAGTCGCGCCCAGCTTGAAGCTTGAAGTGGAATGGCGCTAAGAATTCTCAATCACATGAAGACATCCATGACACTAAAGAAATGACCAGATAAGTTAACGATCGCGACACTGTGGCTAAGCGACCATGGCAAACCTCTACAACCTCGAGCCGCAACCCACGGCGAAAGTGGTGCTCAACACGACCGCCGGCGACCTCACCATTGAACTCTTCGCAAAGCAGACTCCCCTCGCCAGTCGCAACTTCTTGCAGCACTGTTTGGATGGCTACTACAACAACACTATATTTCACCGACTCGTACCTGGCTTCATCATACAAGGCGGCGACCCTACTGGCACAGGATCAGGCGGAATCTCTGCGATCAACGATGGCGAACCATTTCAAGATGAGTTTCATAGCAGGCTCAAGTTCAATCGCAGAGGTCTGCTTGGTATGGCAAACGAAGGACCAAACAGCAATGGATCTCAGTTCTTCTTTACGTTGGATGCGACGCCTGAGCTGCAAGGAAAGAACACAATGTTTGGGAGAATCGAGGGAGACACAATATACAACTTAATGAAGATGACCGACAAGGATTTAGTCGGGTTGGAGGAGGGAAGTGAAAGGCCACTATATCCTACAAAGGTCACAGGAGCAGAGATTCTGGTCAATCCATTTGAGGACATGGTCGCGAGGGTCAGGGAAGCGCCAAGGACCAAAGCCGAGTTAAAGAAGCCTGATGCGAAGAAGAGGAAGAAGCCAGCGGGCAAGAATGTAATGAGCTTTGGAGGCGATGAGGAGGAGGAAGCTGCACCGGTCCTGAAGAAGGCCAAGGCAAACCCAAAGCTCGTAGCTGCCGAGGAAGAAGATGAAAAGCGTGTAGCGAAGGAGCCCAAAGAGAAGAAGGCCAAAAAGGAGATTGTAGAGGAGTCACCACAGCCTGTCACTGAGGCAAAGACGATGAGATCAGAAGAGGCGAAGAAGTCACAGGAAGGGGAGCAAGACGAAGATGAATCAGACTCTCAGCCCGACGAACGCGAAGCGAGAAGACGGCAAAAAGTGCTGGAAGATACCAATGCTCAGATAGCACAGCTCAAGGCTAGCATGAAGCGCACGGTGGACACAAAGCCGAAAGAGATAGAGAAGCCGAAGCACGCCCTGGAAGCCATGATACCTGCAACGTCAACGCGAGGACGAAAACGTGGGAAGGCTTCAGACGAGCAAGGCGCATTTGAGCTGTTCAAGTCCTTCAAGGCACGTCTCGAAGATCTGCCAGAAGACAAGACATCTGGAGACTCTATCGATGCCCCCAAAGTGAAAGCTCGTGAGACTAGCAATGGTGACAGCGAGTCTGTGCTACCAACTACGACCAAACCTGAGAATGACGAGGAGGCTGAGCTTTGCGACCTACACTTCATCGCGAACTGCCAGTCCTGTAAAGCTTGGGATGACGAGAAGCCTGATGGCAATGCCGAAGCGGATGAAGACGACGATCCCGGCTGGATGTCACATACGCTAACATTTGTGAAAGATACGCTCGGGAAAGACTTGCAATGGAAAGAGCAGATGAAGCAGATTGAGGTTATTGATCCGAAAGAGAAAGCAAGAGCTTTGAAGGAAGAGAGGCGGAAAGAGCGTGGTGTCAAAGGCAAAGACAGAGTGCGGGACAGGAGGTAGGGCAGATGCTCCATTGCCATGTATTGACACTGCGTGCTTTCGTTAGCACGGCACGAAAGCCCAATGCTCCATCGCTTGCTGGGTCACTCTCTTGGTCTCTTTCAGGGATCTGGTATCACAGTTGTTCTTGATCCGAGGATATTAATGAGCATCGATAATTTCCCAACCGGCATTTCGATCAATGTTGCATCATGATCTGGAAGACATTCATCAGAGCCGAAGCTGAACTGCCATTATTCGCCAAGCGATCACTCCCTGTCACGAGGTACGGCATATCGCACATCCCAGCTCCATCCATGTCATAGCCATGGCTTTCCGGAGCCTATTCTGTTGGCCTATTCTTGGACGAAAGTTGTCAGTGGCAACAACAACAATGGGAAGATATAAGCAGTCCTCGAATCGCAATCGACCAAGATCGAATAAATCTATGACCGCGAGCGCCCAACTCCACAGATCTCAAACTAGAAACCGAAACCCACAGCCATCATGCTTTCCAAATTCCTAACCCTTCTGACCCTCACAACGCTCTCCCTCGCCCAAAACAATTTAGACACTAGTCTCCACGTCACAAGCACGCAATGGCACGTCCAGGCCTACGACTCCTCTCCAGTGAATAATACCTGCACCGGAAACATGGTGATAGATATCGGAAGCGGAGAGTCTTCCGGCTGTGTCCAGCCCTCGGGAACACTTGGAGCAAAATGTTATATTGCTTTTACGAAAGATGGGAGTACGTGTACTTTGACCGCGTATAGGGGAGATCCGAAGAGTAATGTTGGAGATTCGAGTTGTATGAGCGATCGAACGAGTGCGAAATTCACGTTTGATGGACCCGCCGAGCAGGTTTTCTGGACTAGTTACTCGGCGAAGAGTTTGAAAGTCATATGTTGAGTTGGTTGGCGGGGAGGGAGGTGGCGAGTGAATGTCGAGGCTTGGAATGAGACGGCGGAATTGTTTATGCGCGTGGGCCTATTCAGAGCCTAGGACCCAAGTCGCAGAATTACAAGAAGAATTGAGTGCTAGCAGGTACCTACTGCTGTAAGGCAGTGTAAGCAACTGTAGAGCACTACGGATAATGCGACGTATTCGTCGAAGAGGCCAAGTGGAATTCTGAGCATGGGAGCTTACTTTACTTTGACTTCTACTGTAGAACTATCCAAAAATCACAAATACATACGCCGGAAGAATGCCAAGATTCGATACCGCCACCACAACCACTCCCACGAAATGAAAAAGACGCCGCCAAGACCCCATACCACCACAATCACTTCCAAAAGCCATCACACACATCCACACTCTCCTCAAAGCCCCTCCATATCCCTCCTCACCCTCTCAACCTCTCCCTCCAAATCCATCCCACTCCACTCAACCCCAAAATCAAGACCATGGAACCTATCCTCAACCTCTGACCTCGGACTTTCAAGTTGATACTCATAGTCCGCCACATTAGAACCCCTAAAGAGACTCGCCTGACTAGAAGCATAGACGGCAACCGTAGAGCCCCTCAAACTAGACTCACGATCCGGAACCTGAGGCGGATTCTGATCTCGCATCGGAGTGTCAGAGCGAAGAGTAGCCGCTCCCTGCCTCTGATTCTCCAACTCCATTCTCTGAGCGCTGGAAAATCGAACTTGTTGGGGAGCGCGAGCGATTCCGTTGGCTTCGGTCCCGAGAGGCATGCGTGCCGTTTCACGCATCTTGCGTTTGGGATGAGAGTGGCGATAAGGCAGGGTGTCGGTGCTGCTGTATTCGTCTGGTCCGTCCATGTGCCTTACATTTGCAGATAGCGTTGCCTCATGTCGATTGGCTTGATAGGCTGCGTGTTCCTTTTCGTCTGCTTGGGGTTGCTGTGGCTGCGTCACGTCGTCGCTCGAGAGGAGTGCATGTCTTGCGAGGTTACGCTGCTTCGACTGCTTGGAGCACGTGAAGCATGGCAGGCATCCATCAGGCTCAATCGCCTCTTGTGGGCCGTAGTTGGCAGCAGATTTGGGGAAGCAGCGTCGCTTCAAGACCTGGTAGATCTTGCAACCCCCGGTGATGATGGCTTCACGCGCCGTGCTTCGATCGTGGTTGCTCCTGACACTCTTGCTGGACCTTTTATTTCCAGACTCCTCAGCGTCACTGGCCGGCTTGTTGTCGCAGACATCACCGTTATGATCCGAAGGTGGAATGTTGATAGCGTGCCTTGATCGCAGTGGGAGGTCGAAAATTGTTGAGCCTTCTTGTATGTCATTCTGCACAGGATTGAACGCCTCGTCATATAGCAGCCATTCACCGATTTCGCTGACTGCCGAAGACTGGCTTCTTTCTGAGCTTCCCGACTTCTCCGAGAACGCAGTTGTCTCTGGCATCGGCGACATGCTGTAGTTCAGAACTCGGACGGAGTAAGAAGGTCGAGAAATGGGGTGAACGGAAGCGATGGCATCGAGTGTTCGACGAGGAATTATAGTCGCCATGCCCGCAATCGAGTGTCGGCGCATGACCGGTGGTGCAGACATCTTATACATCTCGGCAGATATGTTGGAAGCAGTTCTCACAGACGAGTCTTGGATCTCACTTCTTTTTTTGCAGTTTCCGTGGCACGAATGAAGAAGAAGAATGTCAGTTCTCGCGAGCGAGCGAGGAAGAGATATACAAATGTCGACGGGGACGCGAAAATCGGTGTGCGTGGCCTTTTCTTAGAGCTGGTAAGCTTGTCAGTATTGAGAAACATCAAGTCCACTGGGAAGGCTTCAAGCCATCCGCATCGGGGATAGCAATGAAACATTCAATCCCCATAATGGTCGTCTAAAGTCGCTGACGTTTATATCAAATTCAACTGCATGCATTCCAAGCCAACTTGACTATGGCGAGGGCGCCGGCCGTTCGCGTTCAATTCTGCTTCCGAAACCTTTCAATGCAAGGTCTTCTGGTATCGCTGCTGGTGGCTATGTCAGATGCACTCGCAGGACATCAGCCGACTCAGCGTCCCTTGGACACCTTGGAAATGATCGTGTCATGTTCGATGTCATCTGGGTCATTGGCCTGGACGTCAGCGGCAAGACCGTTGAGGGCACGCTTCAGAGCCTCCTTGGAAGAGGAGTACATCATGCGTGGCTGATAGGAAGTGTCAGTGATTGAACCGCATCGCGTTCATGTCAGGACTCACGTATTGCGGCGCATCATCTGGCACCCACGAGATAAAGGTGATCTTGCTGCGCTTTCCATCGCCGCCCTCTGCGTCGTACTCGACGTCAAAAACCGCGTATCTGCCACCGATTCCCTCCTCGCCGCGCTTGTTCTTGCTCTTGGCGTCGATAAGCTTCTGTCGGAACTTGCTGTAGTCTGGGTCTTCGCTGGTCTCCTCCACAACAATCTCCTTCCAGTCATCGGAAATCTTGTAAATGATCCACTTGGTCTTCTTGCCCAGCTTCAGCTCGTTGAAGGCTGTGATGCACTCAGGTGCGACCGAAACGCTGGAGGTGTGTTAGAATGTGGGTAGGCGTTGGGGACGAGGTCTGCGATATCGCTCGAGTGCGGGAGTACGGCGCGACTGGTAACGTACCCAGATGAGGCCTGTCAATCAGATGTCAGTACAACTACTCAGTACAACTACCGCATCTGAGCCCATTGAATGTGTACTCACCATGATTGAGGTTCAGCAGATGTAGCAGGCAGGTGCGTCCAAGATGCTGGAGCGAAGAGTTAGCCAACTTTTGTTGGTTGGGATCACAGCTGAGAAGGCTGTTATGTTGCCGCCTTCGACGGAGGCTTGGCCTTACCGGGGCTTTCTGTGTTTGTAGGCAGCGAGACACGAGGCTTGCGCGGCCGACTATTTCCAGATCGTTTGACCTGTGAGGTTGAGTTGTGACTGCTGTGTAGTTGCCCGCCGCGACGGAGGGGCTCTGGTTGGAGGAAGTGACGACCCTTGACCCCACTCTTTTATTAGTTGTAGCCTGAGGCAAGAACATGTTTCATTCACTTCGCCAAGTTTGTTTCTGTCTTGTGACTGAGCTGTTAGTGAACGCACGTTCCCTGTGACGACTTCCAGCCGGCATGATTGCATCCAAAGTGGCAATACTTCTGCTCGAATTTGACCAATAGAATACTGTGGATAACGAAAACTTCAGAATCCAGTTCGTCCTCGCTGTCGCTTCGTCTCGGGCCATTTTGTCTGCATCACAATGAGGCATAACGGTGGCAGGAGCAATCATTGCGGCGGCGGTGTCATCCATACGCGAAAGCGGCCAATTCGTCCTCCAGCTTGGCAGTGATGGACAACAACCACGTCCTACGAGAGCCTTGGCCGACTTTCCGGACTTTGTTTACCTCAGCTTGTCACAAAGTTGCATAAAATCCAATGCATAACTCGAACAATACCAGCCTGATCACAGCTCAAATGGGTCGATTGAGTTATGCTGCGAGAGATCAGCATTTGTAATGACAGAGAGGGCAAGCTAGATCCTGAGAGCTAGCAACGCCCTGAGAGATCATACTAGCCCTCTCCAGGTAGGAAGGATGTATATTCTGCTCGAATCCCCTCTCTCGTCTGGCATCACTCACACAGTCTGCTATCTGATACCACAGCCATGTCTTCCGACCAGAAACTCCTCGTCATCATCGGCATCACAGGCCAACAAGGCGGCTCCGTTGCCAAAGTCTTCTCAAAACTCGAACCATCCTGGCGAATCCGAGGCATAACCCGCAACCTATCCTCTGCTGCTTCGCAATTCCTTCTCAGGAACATCCTTCCATCGAGCTCGCAGCCGGCGACCTCAACAACCAAGCGTCTTTGGAATCGGCCTTCCAAGACGCAGACGCAATCTTCTCCGCCACAGATTTCTGGTCCCAATTCAAATCCTCAGGCTCCTACACCTTTGAAACCGAAAAAGACATCCCACCAAACATCCAAGCCTTCAATTCCGAACTCCAACAAGGAAAGAACATAGTCCACGCCGCAGCAACCGCACACTCCCGCAAACCTCTCCATAGATTCATCCTCTCCACCCTCTCGGACACCAAAAAATTCTCAAGAGGCACAATAACAGAAAACTACCATTTCGACTCCAAAGCCACCTACACCGCATACCTGAAGTCCCACCACCCGGACCTCGCCTCAGTCTCTTCATACTTACAAATCGGATGGTACCTATCCAACATCTGGGCCTGGCCAATCTGGACACCGCAGAAAAACCACCCTTCAGATCCGACTTCGAATATCTACATCTACCCAACAACCCACCTCACCTCCTCAACATCCCATCCAATCCCCTACGTCAATCCACCAAACGACACGGGCCACTTCGTCCGCGACTTATTCACATCCCCACTCTCCCCTCCCGCAACGAACATGTTGGGATCCTGTTGGAAGACTTCTCAAGAAACTTTCGCGGAGACGTGGGCTAGGGTTTTGGGTGTGGAGATTGAAATCGAGGGTTTGAGTTTAGAGAAAGTTGTGGCTTCGGGTGTGCCGGAATGGTTGGCGAGAGAGGTTATGGCTAGTGGAGAGTATGCTGATAAGTTTGGGTGGGATGGTGGGGAGGAAGGAGTGAAGAGTCCGGAGGAGGCGGGAGTTGAGATGAGTAGGTTGACGAATGTGGAGGAGTGGATTCGGGGACAGGATTGGAGTTCGATTGGGATTGGGAAGAAGGACTAGAAGGTTGGTCAGTGGTTTGGTTCTTTGCTAGGTTAGTGCAATGAGGCATTGAGGTGTGTGTGGAAAGTGTTTGAGACGATCCAATCCAAGTACACATGATCATGATCCCATCTCTTTGACCTCTTTATCCCAACCCATGGTATCCTAAACGCCTTACTCTCAATGGGAGACGAGCTACGAGCTCTGATCTCCATGCCCGCCATTATGCCTGCTGGACGATGAAGTGCCGCCAGGATCAAGTAGCAGATGTGGTTTGAGAAAGTGCTCGTCGAGACGGTTGAACAAATCCCCTGCATCTTGCGTTGTTGCATTCAGGATCTGCGTGAAAGCGGCTCTGGGGTTCAGGGCAGCAAGTCGACCGCCTTCGCTGTGCTGTGTACTGCCGCTTTCGGGATATGGGTTGTCGATATTCCTCGATGGTGTTCCCCGTCTCGCATCAGGTGGTAGGTCGAGGTCATCGTCACTCACTGTGCTCTCATCTTCTTGCACCAGCAATCCTTGCTCTGCTTGGCTTTGCTGATCATCCCGCCTCACGCGTGAGCTGTTCCTTCGATCAAGTCCAGGCGGAGTGCTTGTGTGTCCTCCGCCACCACTGTAGCTCGATGTGTCAGCTCTGCTCCGGTGACGACCAACATTTCCCAGGCCAATCCCGCCATTACCCACACCGACGCTGCTGCTTTTCGGGGTGTGTCCAAATGCAGCACCATTCCTTCTTGCATATCCGCCTTGCGGCACAGGTTCGATGTCAAACTCGTCATCGCTGTCTATTTCTTCCACCACCCCTGTGCGAATATTAAGAATTTCTAACATGCGTGCTGTTGTGCCACCGAAGATGATTACGGTCAATACGACCGTGACGAGCACTGTGGCTCGCAGTGCAGCGCCATCTTTGCCGCTCAGACCGGCGGCAAGTGCAACACCGACAGCTCCTCTTAGACCAGCCCAGAAAAGCATGATCTTCCAATTGTTTGGTATTTCTTCTGCCAACGTCTCTTGCCCTCTTCGCCTCGCTCTGTATCTGATGAACCAATTGATTGCTGCGCTCAACGGGAACACCGCACACCATCGTGCCACGCAGATGCCTATCAGGGTGACGAGGATGAATAGTGGCTTGTACTCGAGCGTTCGTTCGGTGAAGAGCGATAATCCCAAGTAGATGAAGATGAAATTCTCGGTCAGCTGCGCCATGAGTGAGAAGGTAAATTTGGTCGTCAGTTGTGTTCGGCGCGACATATTGTGGTAGGCGTAGTGCTTGAGGCAGATACCGCAGAAAAGTAGAGACACGATACCTGTCCGACGTCAGTATATGCAGCACGCACCATGTTTGAACGACGTACCACTCATATGAATAGCATTAGCAAAGAAATACGAAGCATATGCGATCAAGAAGACCAGACAGCTTTCAATCTTCGGATCGCGCCGAACGTGGGTGAACTTCAGTAGCAAACTTGTGCCGAGTCCTATCACGAGCCCAAGCGCCAAACTGCCAAAGAAGACCAGCAAGAAGACTCCAATACTTTCGAACAAGCTGAGTATGGTGAGCTTTCCAGCTTCTTCTCCCGCCTTGTACTTCTGCGCCGTTTCGAACAGCACGATAGCAATGGCATCGTTCAAAATGCTCTCGCCGAATATGACAGTGTAGAGCTTCGGATCGACTTTGTAGGTATTGAATATTGCCAGGATCGTCACAGGATCGGTAGCTGAGAGTGTTGCGCCAACAGACATAGCATCGACGAAAGAAATATCCAGACCCTCCAGAGGTATGCGCGTCCATAACCAGAGAATTATCCCGAGTACAAGCGCAGATATAAAGGTTCCGGCAAAGGCGAAGGTCAGAATACTGCCGATGTTGCGGAAGAAGTTTCCTTGGTGCAACTCATATCCGCTGGCCAGAATGATGGGCGGCAGTAGCAGGTTGAAGAAGAACTGGTAGTCGAAGGTGACGACGTCCAGCACGCTGTTCACGCTCGTCAAACGGAGGATAAGTCCAATGACCATTCCCGCGAAGATTGACACGACAGTCTCGTGCACGGCCTGGATCTTTCTGCTTCTGAGGAAGTAACTGGTGAAAAAGGCCAGGACCAGCAGACAGATCAGGATCAAGAGTGCCCATGACGAGTATATTTCCTTCTGCCCTGCTTCAGGGTCTTCTTCGTCGTCTGAGTCGGATGTCTGTCGCGCAGCCAGCTGTATGGCATTGCGCGCGACGAAGTGGGAGAAACCCATACTGGTAGCTGGTGCTGGCTATCGCATTGCTCGGTGATGGGCTCGCAGTAACTTCGGCTGCGACTGCGATGGATTGCGGAGAGCGAGGAAAGTACAGTATGGGGTGGTGCGCGATTGGAGGCGGGGGCGGAGGCGGAGGCGGAGGCGGAGGCGGAGGCGGAAGCGACTGGTAACAGGACCTCAAGCGCGATAACTCGAAGCTGCTTTATCGCCGGGTGGTCGTCGTGGTTGCTGTTGCTGTTGCTGTGGTTGATCAAGCTTGCGTTGCCTGGTCTGGTCTCGAGAACTGCCGGCTAGCTTTCTAGCTTTAGGTTCGCGGAGTTCGCCTTTAACGTGCAGACGGTACGGTACGGTCCCTGCCGCGCTGCAGCCCTATTATAGAAGGGTTTCGCAACTCGGCGAGTACGCCGCTCCACGCTTAGATAGGAAGCCAAGAAGGCCTAATCTAGCAGTAGACAGTGCACTGCACTAACTATGTTTGCGAGGCCGCTCTAGCGCTAGAGCGGCCTATTTAACCGCTTGAATAGGTCGCTAAGTAAGTAAATATAGTATAGCGTACTAGAATAACCTAGTAGCTCCGACCGTAGGCCTTTTACGACTTTATCGCGTACGCGTCTTCTTATAGTATTAGATACTAAATGTTATCGTTCTTATTACGATCTTAGCGACTTGTATATAGAATTTAAAGTTACGTAATAGGGCTAGCTAATACTACTCCGGGGATATTATTAGACCTAAGCTATAAGTAACCCGAAGTTACGTAACTCGATACCTAAGGCATCCGCTAAGCGGATAAAAGCCTCTTCCGCGAGAGAGCCTCTCTCTCTTCCTTCTCTAACTCGTTATTAATTTAGATAGCTATCTAATTAATATCTTAATAGAATAACGAGTTCCTTTATTACCTACGATAACGTCGTAGGTACTATCGTTTATATCTATATAAAGAATTATATCGCTAGCGATCGCTATCGCCCTTTTACGCTTCTCGTTATATAATAGCGCTAATAAACCTTGTATTATATTAGGACCTATATACTAATCTATATTAAGTATAGTAAGCTACTTAACCGTAGTAATACCGCCGATCTGTTATAGATCCTTTATAACCGCCTACTAATCGTAGTAGCGGCTCGGAATATATAAATACGCCTAACTAAGTAGAAATAGCTAGTACCTAGTTAAACGGTATACTAGAGTAACAACCTCTATAGGGTCTACGACCTAGCCTTATAGATATCGATAGTATACTATATTAGCCTTTACCTAGCAATCTCTAGGACTTCTAGTAGCTCTTTAGTAGAGTAAATAAGTAGGAAGCCGCTAAATACGTCTTTTAACGTATAACCGCGTTATACTAGTTAGTAGCTACTCTTTATTAATAATACTAGTAAGAAGTAGAAACACTAGAGCGAGTATAATAAGCCTATTATAAGACTAATACCTACCTTAATAGCGAGCTAGTATAGGCTCGTACGGAAGTAGAATACTAACGCTAAGCCGCCGAGGTAGTACGTAATATACTAAATATCGTATACTAGCAACGTAATAACCTTGCTTAGTAAGCCGCACGTCTATAATAATAATAGTCTTCCGTAGAAGATATCGCCCGCCGAGCTAGCAAATAAGCTACTCGTATCCGTCGTAACGCTAAAGCGTCCTTATTATATAACTTAGTCGGCGGCTAAGGACCTATACTAAATAATAGCCGACCCTTATTCCGTCGCCTATCTAATATATACCTAGTACCTAAAGATATTATACTAGGTAGTAGTAGCTTTCGTCGACCTCTTAGCGCTTTCGACTATCTCGGTCGTTTACGCTTCGGCCGTTTAAATACTAATCCTAAGGGTTAGGATAATCCTATTAATATTAATAATAACTTCGGTTACGACCTAGTACTACGATCTCGCGACCGACTAGACTCTCTCCGCCGCTCTAGGTTTAACCGTAGCTTTAACGACGATAATAACTATACTAGATATAATAAGAGCGAGAAGTATCTAGACCTAGAGAAATACGATAGAGACCGTAAGAAGCTAAAGCCCTTCCTTACTAAGCTTACGATTAAGTTAATAATTAATAATAACCGCTTTCTAATACTATAAGACTAGTTAATATATACGTATAGTCGTACTACCGGCAAAGCTCGCTCGATAGTCTAGCTATATATCTATTACGATAAATAGGGCGTAATCGTAGATTTCGACGACTTCGATAACTTCTATAACCTATTAGTTAACGCCTTCGGCGACCCCGACGAGGTCGCTACTACTAGTTATAAGCTAGATAACTTAAAGTAGAAGAATAAGGAGTTTACTTACTATCTTACGAAGTTTAATCGACTTAATGCTTTACTCGGTTATAAAGGCTAAGCCTAGGTTAACGCTCTTAAGCGTAGCTTGTCTTCCGAATTAAAGATAGCGCTTAGTAATATATATAATAAGCCTACTAACTTCTTAGTATTATATCGCTATCTAACTATTATCGATAATCGGCTCCGCTAATATCGCGTAGAAAGTAGCCGCGATAATACTAAGCTAGGATCTAGTAATACTACTAACTAAGGCTCGAATACTAACTATAGTAATAATAACGCTAGCGGCTCTAATAATAGGTACGCTCCTTAAGGATACGTCGCTCTATATAATAACTAAGGACAATTTACCTTAGCGAATAATAGTAACAATACTAGTACTACTATAACTACGACTACGACTATCCGTAACCCGGACGCTATAGACCTCTCTACTACTTAAGGTTAGAGTTAGGGTTAGGGTTAGAGTTAGGGTTAGGGTAATTGTCGTCGCGTAATACTTAAAAAGAGAGATCGCTGCCGCCGCGAAGGTTTATATCGCTTCTATAGTAGCAATTACGTCTACTTCGATACTACTTGTCTAGAGCTTATCTACTGCGCTTAAAGCCGCGGTAATCGTCTAAATACTAACGTCTCTACCTTCGGTACCGCCGCCGCTCCGGCCGATCTACCTTCTACCGATAATAAAGACGCTTATAGTAGTAATAAGGAGGGAAAAGTATAGCTCTTAGACAAAGTCGCGTTTAAAAGCCTATACCGATAGAGTTACCTATACCGTTATTACCGAAGAACCTAGGCTACTATTATAGAAGGAAATATCGATAGTAGAAAGATTTATAGATTAGTTTATTAGTATTATTAGGAAGTATTATACCTAAGGGCGATAATTAATATCTCGTTTTATATTATACTTTAACGGCTTATAATAAACCTTAGTCTAGCTTACTAGATATAGGGTAGGATATCGAATACTAATTATTAGTAATAGTTAATTGCGGCTATACCGGTTTATCTTTTATTAACTTATATTACGTATACTAATACTAGCTCTCTATCTATAACCTAAAGGAGCCTCGTAGATTAACTACTTTCGACGGTAGTTTCGTAGTAGACGTTACTTAGTACGCTAGAGCGACTATTAATATTAATAGCTATATCGAATATAGGGCCTTCTACCTTACTATATTAGGATATTATCCTATTATTCTCGGCCGCCCGTAGCTTAATAAATACAACCCTCGTATCGACTAGAAGCTTAACCGAGTATAGTTCGACTCCGATTACTATAAGGAATATTATAACGACTTATATACTATCGTCTATGCCTACGGCTTATCCGACCGTAAAGATAATAATACGCTAGCTTACGCCGAGCCCGTAGCTACGTAGCACTATTAATAGTAACTAGCTTATAACCTATCGGATAATACCGATACGGTAAAACTTATCGACTTAATATAAAAGTACTACGTATAACGCGATTGTCCTATACGCCGATTAGTATTAACTTAGTTCTTATCTCTACCCTTACCTCCGCTAATTCTATTACCTCGACTAGTATAGAAACGCTTATTACTATCGCTTATCTATATTGCTAGTATAACTATAGCTCTAGTAAGCGTATAGGTCTTCGACTAGTAAATAAAAAAGAAGGATTTATTCGTATTCGCTATATTATTACGAGATATAGAAAAAGAGATAGCTAAGAAGAAGTATATTAACCCCGCTAATAAAGTCCCTTAGTACTATTACGGTAGGCTAATATTGTTCTCGTAGGAAGATACGAAGAAGTTACTACTATACCGACCTAGATAGAATTACTATATCGATATTATTAAAGGTAAGGAAACGACGTATAGCCCGCTCTATAGTATATTATACGAGGAATTAGAAGTCCTATATAACTATTTAAAGGACAACCTCGATAAGGGCTTTATTTAAGTATTAACCTTATAGTACTCTTCGCTAGTACTATTCGTTAAGAAACTCGGTAGAGGTTTATAGTTCTACGTAGACTATTGTAAGCTAAACGAGATTATAGTAAAGAATAGATACCCTATCTCTCTTATTTAAGAGATACTCGATCGATTAAGTAAAGTAGTAATATATACTAAACTCGATATTATCTCGGCCTTTAATTAACTTCGTATCGAACTAGGTTACGAGTAGAAGATAGCCTTCTATACCCGTTATAGTCTCTTTAAATATAAGGTTATACTATTCGGGCTCTATAACGTACTATTAACCTTTTAGTAATATATTAATAACGCTCTCCGACCCTTCCTCGATATATTCTATACCGCGTATCTAGATAATATACTTATCTACTCTAATTCGATCGAAGAATATCGCTATTACGTACGCTAAGTAATAGACGCACTCCTTAAAGCTAGCCTATAAGCTAATATATTAAAGTTAGAGTTTAAAGTAATAATAGTTAAGTACCTAGGTCTCGTTATTAGTACTAATAGTATCTATATAGACGATAAGAAGATTAAAGCCGTATGCGACTAGTCTATTCCTACTAATATTAAAGATATATAGTCCTTCCTTAGCTTTACGAACTTCTATCGACGCTTTATCTATAACTTCGTATATATTATTAAACCTATAGTTCTACTAATATATAAAGATACGCCCTTCGTATAGATAGTAGCCTACTAAGACTCCTTCGAACGACTTAAAGCTACGTTTATCTCTATACTAGTATTAGCTTATTATAACCTAAACCTATCCGTAATAATCGAAACTAACGCTTCCGATTATATTACTACTAGTATTATATCTTAACTATATATCGACGGCGTATAGAAACCTATTACTTACTTCTTAAAAAAGATAACGCCCGCTAAATATAACTACGAAATCTACGATAAAGAGCTTCTCGCTATTATTAAAGCCTTTAAATCGTAGAGGCCCGAATTAGAAGGTTACTAATCTAACGAAAAGCCTATCCGAGTTATTACCGATTACCGTAATCTATAGTTCTATATATCTACTAAGCAACTTAATCGCCGCTAAGCTCGCTAGAGCGAATTCCTTAGTAGGTTTAACTTTAAGATTACGTACCGTCCTAGTAGATAAGGAGCTAAGCCGGACTCGCTTATACGTCGCTCCGCCGACCTACCTTTATTAGCTAAGGACCTACGTATTAAATATAACTATTAGCTTATATTAAAGCTATATAACCTAGCCGTAGATCTCCGATCCGCCGTATATAAGATCTTCTCCTTAGGGTTAGGGTTAGGGTTAGGGTTAGGGTTAGGGTTAGGGTTAGGGTTAGGGTTACGTAACCCTAAGGTAAATAATTGCAATTCTCGAAGAAACGGACAATTTTACGACTTTTACGTTTTTTACGATAATAACCCTTAGGGTTAGGGTTAGGGTAAGGGTTACGATAAACCTTAATTTGCGAAAGCCTATATTAATACTATAAGTAACGATATAGTTATATTTACTATAAAGGCTCTCGGTACCGAGACCTTTATTAACGCTAAGGATATTACTAAGCGAGTTCGAGATACCTCGATTAAGGATACTCTCTTCTAGTAAGTAAAAGGATACCTCCGTAGTAGAATAGACCCTTTTAATAATCTCCTATTATCTCCCTTAAACTATAAGGTTAAAAATAATAACCTTTTATTCTACCGCGACTATCTTTATATACTAGAAGCTAAGGAAATAGATAAGTCGCTCCGTACTAATATTATTTATACGTACTACGACTATTCCGCCGCTAGCTACTCTAGTATTATAAAGACGTTCTATCTCGTTAGCCGTAGCTACTACTAGTTACGAATATACGAGGATATTAAGCGATATATCGGTATCTACTATATCTACCTCCGGACTAAATCTTTAAAATAAGCTAAATAAGGACTTCTTTAGCCTCTATCCGTACCGACTACTTAATAGAAGAGCGTAATAATAGACTTTATTACTAGTCTTTCTAATAGCTCCGGTTATAACTCGATCCTTATTATTATCGATCGACTAACTAAGATATAGTACCTTATTCTATTCGTATATAAAGAAAGATACTCGAACGCTTAAGTAGTCGTAGATACCTACCTTACCTATATTTAGAAGCTTTATAGTCTTCTAGATACTATTACTTCCGACCGCGGTATATAGTTTATCTCTAAATTCTAGAACTACTTATATAAACGCCTACGTATTAAGCGTAACCTATCGACCGCCTAGTATCTATAGACTAATAAACAAACTAAACGCTTAAATAAAGTTATCGAGGGATACCTCCGATTATATATAAACTACGAGTAAGATAACTAGAGCCTTTAGCTCCCCGTCGCCGAGTTTATAATAAATAACGTATCCTCCGAAACTACCGGATTGTTACCGTTTTAAGCTAGTTATAGCTATAATCCGCGCCTCGGAAGTAAGCTATTAATATTACTAGAAGAAAACCTACTACTTAACTATAATACTTAAGCCTAAATCGACTACTTATAGACCCTCGAAACCTATCTTATTAAATAGATAAGATATTAGTAATCCTATATAGAAGACTCCGCTAACTAATATCGCCGACCCGCTCCTATCTACTATATTAGTAATAAGGTCTTTCTATCGCTTAAAGGAATAAGTACCGATCGACTAAACGCTAAGCTCGACGTTAAGAACTTAGGACTATATAAGATTATTAAAGTCGTATTACCGTACGCGTACTAATTAAAGTTGCCTAACTTAATATATATATATAACGTCTTCTATACCTCGTTACTAACCCTAGTACCGAAGATAGGTATACCTAGTTAATAGTACGAGCCGCCGCCGCCGCTAGTTATCGATAGAGATAAAGAATAGGAAGTAGAAAGGATACTAGATATAAAAGGAAAGGGCAAGAATATCTAGTATAAAGTAAAGTAGATTAGATACGATAAACCGATATAGGAAGTTACCGAGAACGTTACTAATACGCTAGAAGTAGTAGAAGACTATTATACTCGATATCCGCGTAAACCGCGACCGCCGCGTATTACTAACTCCGCGATACTAACGCGACTAAGCGCTCTACTATTAGTCGCTATAATCGTAATACTTTAACGATAAGTAAGTAAAGCGCTATAGACGTCGCCTATAAAGAGAAAGAGTACTATTACGATCTTAGCGACTTGTATATAGAATTTAAAGTTACGTAACGGGGCTAGCTAATACTACCCTAGGGGTATTATTAGACCTAAGCTATAAGTAACCCGAAGTTACGTAACTCGATGCCTAAGGCATCCGCCGAGCGGATAAAAGCCTCTTCCGCGAGAGAGCCTCTCTCTCTTCCTTCTCTAACTCGTTATTAATTTAGATAGCTATCTAATTAATATCTTAATAGTTCTATACTATAATATTAGTTAATTAAGGCTTCTAAGCTATTAATAATAGCTGTTCTTAATTAGTTACGCTTCTATAGTCGCCCTCGGTTATACCTAACCCGGATTTCTACTCGTAGTCGGTCTAACTTATATACTTTGTTAATAACTTTGTATTTAACTCGCTATAACCTAAGCTGTCTCTAGCTAATCGACCGCCTTCTTAAACGCCTATACCTTCTCGAGAGCGTACGGATATATCGGATACTATAGTATAGTATCTCGCTTACCTCTACGGCGAAATAGTACCCCTTATAAGGCATAAGGAGAGCTAATCTACGCGTACGGCTCGTTAGTTAACTTAACGCGCTACTAGTATTAGTAAGGCTCTCGGACGGACGGAAGTAGAAGACGAAGAATATAAAGAGCTACGCCCTAGGTAGAAAGCGCTAGCCTTAGGCATTCGGCCTATATAACTCTAACCTACTACTTAGCGCTTAGTATACCGTACAAAACTATTCGGATTTACGTAGATAGACTTAGCTCTTTATCGAACCTATTAAGTCTTATATCTAGTATCTACGTATACGTTACTTACCCGTAATATTAGGTTCGATCTTTAATATAGGAAACGCTAAGGTTTATTAGGAACCCGAGTAAGATAGCTAGGGGAACGCTACCTCTACCGTACTAGAGATAACTAGGGACGAGATTTATCGTATCTTCGAGAGTCTCTATACTAGATAGTAGACGATAGAAGCCTAGCTATAAGCTACTTATTCCGTACTCTAATACGCGGAAGCGTCTCGCTAGCCCGGGCCTCCCGAAGCTAGTTTAGTACGAGACTAGTCTACGAACGAGATCCTAAAGGGACTACTAGAAACTCTCTCGGCTTCCGGCTAAAACGTAACGGCATCCTACGAGTAGAAACTACTATCGTAGGATAGGAAAGCTAAGTCGTTCCGGGACTACCTACTACGACTAAGAAGTTCGTACTAAGTTCGTTCTAGGCTAAAACTAAAGCTCTCCGAAGATTACTACTAGGATACTATATACGATACCCTACTAGTAAAGGAACGCGCTAGGATACGCTACTTCTAGGAAAGAGGAAGCCTTACGAAAGGAAAGGACCCCGAAGCTTTCTTCTAGTAACTTAAGGACGTCTTCGCGGATAGTAACGAAGCTATAAAGGCGCTAGAGCAACTCTAAGCCCTAAGGCACTCCTAGGGACAACCTTAGTACGACTACTAGCTAGAATTCGATAGCCTCCTACTAAGCGTAGGCGGAGACCGTTAGATAGACGATACGAAAATCGGTTATTTAAAGAATACCTTCTCGAACGCGGCTAAGACCTATACTACCGCTATACTAAAGATTAAGGATTACTACCTCTATACGGAGGAGGTCGAGCGGATTATAACGAACCTCGAGTCGATAGATTAGTTTAAATAGGCTACGAAACGCTAGCAAGAAAGGAAGAAAGAAGTAGCGAGTCCTATAGTCGTTATTCCCCCCTATATAGCCCCCGCGGCAAACCCGAAGGTCGACTCTAATAGAGACGTAGTTATAAATCCCGCTTAAACTAACGCTTCTTATAGAAAGAACCGTAGAGCCTAATAATCGATAGCGGAGAAACCTAGGGCTAAATAGGTCGACTCTATAGAAAGAGAGAGGCGTAAGGAGAAAAGACTCTACTTCCGCTATAGAGCGAGTAGATACCGTATTCGAGATTACCCGTACGCCCTACCGGCTTAGCCTACTAAGATTAGTATCGCCTCCGTATAACCTATTCTAGAGGATACGGAGGAATAGTCGGACTTAAGCAGTTCCGACTCGGGAAAAGAGTAACTCCTACTCGTAGTTAGGAGTCGGGAGTAGATAGAGTATAAGTAAAGAAATAGGAAGAAGTTAAAAAGGATATAAACGGGAATCTTATATATACTAATATAGTCCTCGAAAATAACGTCGGAACTTCTACTCTTATCGACGAAGGATACTAGTATTACGCTATAATTAATATAGGCCTAGCTAAAGGCCTCGGACTTAGCTATATTAGCCGTAAGTCCCGAGAAGTAAAAGGAGCGTCGGCGGTAATATAAGACGCGAAAATTATAGGAGTCGTCGCCTTCTAGATAGAAATTAACAAATTCTAACAAATAGTATACGCTTACGTCGTACCGGGATTAGCTTTTCCTCTTATCCTAGGGAACCTATAGAAGGTATATAATAAGGTCCGGACTGCGCCTAAAAAACGATAGTACTACTATAGAAGGGCTCGGTATTAGATTAAAGAAGGGCGCTATTACCGCGAGGTCGATATAAATAGGAATATCGCTATAATTAACGCTATAAGAAGCCTACTTGCCGCGATAATTACCGAGGATATTAAAAAGGCCCTAAAGACGAAGAAATACCCGACGATCGAGGAGCTAAAGAAGAAGCTACTCTTAGAGGTTCGCGATATAGCCGCGCTATTTTATTAAAAAGAAGCCGATAAGTTAGCGCCCTATCGCCCTAGTATCGACTATATAATAGAACTCTAGGAGAAACTAGACGGATCCTAGCCTTAACTCCCTTAGGGTCCGCTCTATAGTATATCGAAATAAGAACTCTTAGTCTTACGGAAGTCGCTAGACGAGCTCCTAAAGAAGGGGTTTATAAAACTAGCGAACTCTAAAGCGGCGGCGCCCGTACTATTCGTTAAGAAGCCCGGGGGAGGACTACGGTTCTACTACGACTATAGGGCGCTTAATGCTCTAACGAAGTAAGATAGATACCCCCTCCTACTAATCCCGGATACTATAAGGAACCTAACGGAGGCCCGGTAGTTAACTAAGGTTAACGTAGTCTCGGCCTTTTACAAGATTAAAATAGCGAAAGGATATAAGTATAAGATAGCCTTCCGGACGAGGCTAGGCTCGTTTGAATAGCTAGTATGCCCGTTTAGTTTATCCGGAGCCCCGGCTACATTTTAACAGTATATTAATACTCTTTTATAGGAGTATTTAGACGACTTCGCGTCGGCGTATATAGACGACGTAGTTATCTACTCGAGCGGGTCGAGGGAAGACTATTTCCGTAAGGTAAGAGTAGTACTTAAGAAGCTTTAGGACGGAGGCCTTTACCTCGATATTAAAAAGAGCGAATTCGCCTAGAAAAAGATTAAGTACCTAGGATTTATCGTCTACGCCGACGGAGGAGGAGTATTAGCCGACCCCGAAAAGATAGAAGCTATATGAAAATAGGTAGCACCTAAGACCTAAAAGGAAGTTCGTCGTTTCTTAGGATTTACGAACTACTACCGTATATTTATACCGAACTATTCTAAGATCTCCGCGCTATTAACTGCGCTTACTAGTAAGGGAACCCCGTTCGCCTAGGGAGAAGAATAGAATAAAGCGTTCGAGACGCTAAAGGACAAATTCTACCGCGCCCTAGTCCTTACCTAGTAGGACCCGTCCCTCCCTATCTTTCTTAAGACGGATTATAGCGGGTTCGCGATTAGGGGCGCCCTTATCTAAGAAAAGGCGGGAATCCGCCGACCGGTAGGCTTCTTTTCGAAGAAACTAAATAAGGCGGAGATTAATTACGATATCTACGATAAGGAAATGCTCGTAGTTGTATCTAGTATTAAGTTTTAGGACTCTAAGCTAAAATTATATAGCCTCTTTACGATTTAGACGGACTATAAGAACCTAGAATACTTTATAGTAAAGCGCTAGCTATCCGAAAGATAGATCCGATAGTAGGAAGAACTAGCGAAGTACTAGTTTACCCTAGTCTACTAGCCGGGAATCGAAGCTATCTTACCGGATACCTTATCGAGGAGGGAACAAGATACGTTAGGCTAAGACAATAAGCTTTCAAGGTTCCGGAGATTCTTAAAGCCGGACCTCTCTCTAAACTAGCCGGAAAACGTCTAGATTTCTAGTACTACTATTTGTAGCTTCCCGCGTATAACGAAGGCGAGCCCGTTATCTCTACTCGCGAACGAAACGGAGCCCGCGTAGCCTTCGCCGGAAAGCGCTAAACTATTCTAGGACCTAGAGATAAACGATATATAGAAGAGTATTATCGAGAAAGATGCGGTATACTAGACGGTAGTACGAAAAATCCGTAAGGGAGGTAGAATATTGCAACCGGAAATTAAAGCAAAAATTTAGATCGGGGATTGTATAATAGACCCTAAGGGGTTCCTTCGCTACTGCGGTAAGCTCTAGGTTCTAGGAGCCCTAGCGACGATAGAAACCGAATATAAAGATATAGGGGCCGAGGAACTATAGTAGGATATACTACGTACAAAGATTATCTAGTCGATCTACGACTCGCCGCTCTACGGCTACCCTAGCTAGGATTCTACTACTTCTATACTAGGTCGCGACTTTTACTAGCCGCTATAGTCGAAGTAGGTACGGCAATTCCTACGGAACTATAACTATTGTAGATGCAATAAGGTATAGAGGGAACACAAATACGGCCTTCTAAAACCCCTACTAGTACCCGACCGTTTCTTCTAGGAAATCTCGATAGACTTTATAACTAACCTACCGGAGTTAGATAGGAACCGGTATCTATAGGTAATTAAAGACCGTCTTAGTAAATAGATCGCCCTTATCGGTACTCCCTCTATAAAAGTAGAGGAATGCGCGGTTTTATTCCTAAAATACTAGGTTAGGTATTACGGACTTCCTCGTACTATTACTAGCGATAGAGGTACGAATTAGACGAGTACTTTCTAGAGAGAGATATATCGACTACTCGGCGTAAAGTAGAGGTTAAGCTCCGCCTACTACCTACAAACCGACGGAGGTCCTAAGCGCGTAAACTAAGATATATAAGCTTACCTACGGAACTATATTAACTAGATATAGTCCGATTAGAACTAATAGCTTCCTACGGTAGAACTAGCGTTTAACGGGAGACACTAAGCGGGGTTAGGAATAAGCTCTTTCTTCGCGACTTACGGTTACGAATCTACCTCCCTCGTTACGTTAGAGGAGGACCTAGCTATCGATAAATAGCTAACTATAGCGAAACAGGCGGAGGAGTTCGTAAATAAGATTAAGCAGATCTTAGATCTATACTAAGTATAGATAGCGGAGGCCGTATAGAAATAAGAGGATAGCGCGAACAAGACTAGAACTCTAGCGCCGGTATATCGTATCGGAGACAAGGTCTAGCTCGACCTAAGGAATTACTAGACCGGTAGACTAAAGAAGAGCCTCGACTCGAAGTACGCTAAGTATACGGTAGAAGAGGTATTATCGCCTATCTTAGTATAACTCTCGGGGATACCTAGTAATATTTACCCGGTATTCTATACCGACCTTCTAAGACTTACGAGCCGGGACCCCCTTCTAGGGTAGGTAACCGACGACGAATAGCCGGACTCTATCTTAATCGAGACGTATAAAGAGTAGTAGGTCGAAGAGATCCTATATGCCTAAAAAAAGAAGCAAAGCTAAGGGCGAGAAGTACTCGTAAAATAGAGCGGGTACTATAAACCTACGTAGGAACCCCTAGACTATATCGCGGATACCTCCGCGCTAGACGACTTCGAAGTAAAATATAGACAAATCGAGGAGAACGATAGGCCTCTAAGAGATTAGGAAAAGAGAGGAAAACGGAAGAAATAACGCGGTAACCTAGAGTTTTTCCGCGGAGTAACGGGTTTATAGATTCTAAGGACTTTTATTAACTTCTAGAGTTTGGATTTTCTTACTAACTTATTCGGCTTAGGTTTACTAGAACACTAGAGAAGAGAAACATAATTTAGAGTTAAGAAGAATTTTATTTAGGTATTTATAAGTAAGTATCGGGTCTCCGCCCGAAATTAGAAGGTTACCTTAGGACTATAAAAAAAAAAAATAATAATAATAATATATCCGAAACTACCTAGAGCCTACTAGAAAACCTACGGAAACCTTTACTCCTCTAGCGGACCTATACGATTGTTACCGAGACGGAGGGCATTTAGAACGCTACTAAAAAAGAGAGGTTAGCGAGAGAAAGTCGGAGGGTAGCGAAGGACTTACGTCTAACTCTATTAAGCTACGATATTAGCGATAGTGTTTGTTACCTCCGAGGCGATAGCGCTAAAATAGACGGTTAGCGAGGGTTTTATCGCGGGAAACGGGGAATCTTACCTAGATAACAACCCCTACGGCTAGAGAGACTTAAGGGCTTTCTATACCTTAAGAACCTTAAGAAGCTCGGAGTGCTTCTCGGCGACGTTAGCGCGGGTCGCGCGGATATAGTTAGCGTAGGCTACGTAGGCTATTTAAGGACTAAATAGTTAGCGAGAGATTTAGTACGGGAATCGCGATAACTTATAGTAGGGCATAAGCAATTCTCTTACGAGCGCAATTAGCGCAAGCCCTCGAGCTAGCGGGCTTAAGAAAGTTAGCGGACCCCGCGACGAATCGAACGGGAACCTTATAGATTAGTCGGCGCAGTCTTCGCCGGAGTTATAGCAACTAATATAGTAGATTCGACGAGCTATCTAGGATAAGTTAATTTTACGAAGGGAACCGAGGAGGAAGGGGAGGGACTTACGGTATTAGTAGTAGTAGTAGTAGTAGAGATATATATAGAAAAGAAGAAGAAGAAGAAGAAAAGGGAAATATTAATATTTATAGAAAGCGATACGGAAGTAAAGGTCGCGAAAGCAATAGAAGGCGCGAGTATAAGTAAGGCGCGTTTTAGGAAGGGGTAAATAGGTAAAAGAGCGCGGTTTAGTAGTCGCGAAGAAAGTTATAGCCTTTAAAGCCTAGGATATAGCAACCCCGACCGGAAATTAGTAGAAACCCCGATCGCGAAGGAGGAAACTACGAGCGCGTTACTCTAGAGAAGCTTAGATAAGTATAGATCTAACGGATAAAGTAATAGCGATAGAAACTACGAAGGGCTTTCTATCCCCGCTAAGGAAGGGGAGGAGGACGGAGGTAATATAAAGGGCTACGCCCTAGGTAGAAAGCGCTAGCCTTAGGCATTCGGCCTACGCGACTCTAACCTACTGCTTAGCGCTTAGCGTACCGTACAAAACTATTCGGATTTACGTAGATAGACTTAGCTCTTTATCGAACCTATTAAGTCTTATATCTAGTATCTACGTACGCGTTACTTACCTATAACAAAGAAGACGCTATAGTACTAGTTAGTAAAGGTAGATTAAACTACGGTTAGTAAGTCGTTCTTACTAAGCTAGTTAAGAGGCATATAAAGAAATAGGGCAAAGAAGGCTTCTAGCGTAATATAGGCTTCGACTTTATAAGTAAGACTCGTATCCGCTACGGCACTATAAAGAAGCCGTAGGAGCGTATAGTTGTTATATATAACGAGTAGACAGATCTAGCTAAAGGCGGTACTTATATAGACTCCGGTACTAAGTTTAACGACGAGTTTAGAGACCGAATAAAGCGCATTCTAGGTACTATTTAAGAGACTAAAAAGAAGGGTTAAGATAAGCAAGAAGCGGCTAAGAAGAAGGATAAGGAAGCTATAGAGGCATAGCGTAGAAGGCGTAACTTGTCGCGGCTAAAGAAGGATAAGAAGCGAGGCCGTAGCAAGCGACAAGCGATACCTAATCTAGAAGTAGAGGGTAAATACGGCAGCGGTAGTAGTAGTAGCGACAGTAATAAATATAAAGAAAGCGAAGAAGATTATAGTAAAGATAAAGATAGGAACAAAGAAGATCTACTAGAGGTTGTATACCCTAACGTAGAGCTAGAAGAATAATTAGCTCTAACTCCTACTCGAAGTTCGCTAACTCCCTCTAGCGCGCTAATCGTACCTAGCTCGCTAGGTAAACCTCCTCCGCGGAAGGGTAAGAACTATACTAAAACAGCGGCAGCGAAGCGTAAGAGGGAGAAGAAATACCCGAGCGTTAAAGAGATATTAGCGAAGATCTAGGCGGAAGGAATCGGTAGTAGGAAGTAGAAAGCGGAAGGCGTAGTAGACGAGGAAGTAAGGAAGGAAGTTAAGCGCTTAAAGGGGGATATTAGCGATATTAAGAGCTTGCTAACGACCCTAATAAGTCGCCTACCTATACAAAATGCTAGTAGTCCTGCTCCGAGTAATCTTAATAGTGCTATAGGTAGTACTAGTACTCCTAGCTTCGATAAGGGTACGTCTCTATAGTAAGAGATAGGCTTTAACTATATAGAAATAGCTAAATTTGATACTAATCTAGAGGGCTATTTAGAGTAACTTTATCGGATATATTGTCGCAATTTAAGTATATAGCGTTGCTAGCTATAAAATAGTTAATTTTAGTCCGATTGTTACGTATAAAAGATATATTATAGCTATAATATAGATAATAAAGCGTATATATAGTTTAGTATATGTCTAAGCAATGTATAGTAAGTAAAGATAGTAGGTAGGGTATAGCTTAGCGTATATATACATTTCGGCTAAGTAAGCTTTTACCTCCGCGGAGGTCCGCGGAGCCGGCCGGACCCTCCGAGAGAGGACAATATTCTTAATCTTCTTCGTCTTATAAATCTACGCCCTCTTCTAAGATACTAGAACCGATACTAGAGCATTTAGATTAAGTGTCTTCGCTATAGTTAAAGTATAGTTAGTTATCGATAGGCTTACTACCGTATAGGTAGAGAATTTTAGCGTAGGAGGGCGGATCGGTATCGAATCTCCTATTCGTTTAATTGCTACCCCTAAGGCTCGTATATAGGTTTGTAAGCAATATAGCGACTATATAATATGCCGCTACTAGTTAATTGCTAATATATTATTATTCTTCGAGTTATAGGTATACGAATAGCCGGATTGTCTTACTAAAGCCGTATTCTATCTCTATTCTCGCCTTAGATATATACTTATTAAATATCCTCTTTAGCTTCGGCAGTTTAGTAACACTTGTTATTCTAGGCTATAGATATATAACTCTAAAGGAATAGTAGTATACTAGATCGCTATATAGATATAATCTTCGTCGTAGAAGACCGCTTCTCGTACGCTTATTAAGCATTCGTTATATACGCTTAGATATACGAGATTTATAGAATATATCCTAATCGTTCTCTTTACCTAGGTAGGGACCTATTAGTAAAGATAGTATGCTATTAGGTGTTATTATGCCTTAGAACTTGTAACTGTATCGCTTCTTATAGCTAGAGAATAATAGACGTTAATTATTATAGTATTCCGGTATAGGTGCCGGACGACAAGTTTCTCGAAATATGCTATTAATAAATTCCTAAAAATTCCCTCTCTATCTAGTATTCTTAACCTACTATACGAAGTTACGTAAGACGTAATATCGTCTTAATCGAGGGTGCTATTATATATAGGAGCTAAACTCCTTCCGAATGTGCTTAATTACTGCCCCGAAGATAGTTAATAGATAGTATAGTTTGCGACTAAAGATAAGACCGAGAATCTTCTAAGTAGACGGAAATCTAAGGTAGAAGAGAGTAAGATAGAAGGCCTATACTAGCTTGCATTTATAGCGGTTTAGCTACTTAATATCGTCTATTTAAAGTATAGTTATAAGATATAATATCTCTTCTTTATTAAATCTATCGACTCTGCGGTAATTAGCTAAGCACGGCGATAGTAAGGTCTAGCGTACTTCTAACGCTTACTTAATCTTCTATATTAACCTCGCGAAAGCGTCTTTATCGACTTACTTTATATACTACTTCGTAAACGCGTCGCTAATATTCTTAAAGACAAACTCCTATATACGGCCGTTTAAACGAATGTCGATAGGCTTACGATATAGCTATTTCCGCCGTTTGCGACGACTAAGTACGATATATACTATAGCGAGTACCTACGCTAATTCTACCTCTTCGTCGGCCTCTATAGTAGCGGCGGTACTTAGCAAAAGCTAGCAAGAACGCGAGAACGCGCCCGAGAACGCGATATCTATACGAGAACCTATACGCGCGGAAGAGACGGAAATACATGCTATACTAGGCTCTATATGGCTGTCTTGGCTTCCTATTCAGTCACTGGAGCGGCTGGTACGTGCGTTGTGGAAACAGGCTCTCCGAGTTGCGAAACCCTTCTTATGAGGCAGAGCAGAAGGCTCGTTGCTTCTCGCACAAGGCATGATGACCAGTTATGCACAGAAGGGTCATGTGGCGGACGCGCTTGTCTTCCCCGAGATCCTTCAACAGCGCAACCTGGCAACTGGAACGCGCCCACAGTACACATGCGCATCCTCTGGATGTCGCGTGATAATGTGATATCTTGTTTCACCTTCGCCTCCGCAGCCTAGACACGTACAACTCCTACGAGAGTCGGCCTCACAGCGCAATAAGGATCATGCTCGCAGGACTGCAGCCTTCCTTTGTTTGCAATAGCACCCTTCTGCCTCCATGACTGCCATGGAGCACGCGCCTTCGCCGACCAACCTCAACTCGTCGCGGCACATATCGCATATAGACACCTCGATACGCACGTCATCTTCGCCGCCTGGGCAAGTTCACGTCCAACAAGAGTCGACATCGTCTCTCAACCTGCATCGCACGACACAAGATCTGGCTGTGAAGACTCAGGCCAGTGGTCGCATGCGACCAAGCGTAGAAACAGGCAAGGCGGATGACTTCAACGAGCAGTCACCTTTATTGCCACCACGTACAAGCGAAGACATCGGAAGCATCTCAAGCTTCTCCGCAGTCAATAGTCCCGACCGCAGTGACAGCGAGACCTGGAATGCCGAGCAAGGGACACGGGAAGAAAGCAAGAGCAGCTGGTATCTGTTCCTTTTGACTCTGTCCTTCTTGGGGTGAGTCGGATGTCCAGGAGCTTCAGGCGATCAAGATCATGCTAAGAGACGTCTCAGAACTAACAGGAAAATAGTCTGCAGATAGCATGGTCTGTAGAGCTCTCAAATGGCTCACCTTATCTCCTAAGCCTCGGAGTCTCGAAGAGCCTGCTCGCCTTGGTGTGGATTGCTGGACCTTTATCAGGCACATTGGTCCAACCGTACGTGGGCATCAAATCCGACAGATGCAGGTCACGCTTCGGAAAGAGACGGCCGTTCGTGGTCGGGGGAGCTATTGCTACCATCATTTCACTCATGACTTTGGCATGGACGCAAGAGATCGTTGCAGGCTTTCTGTCGATATTTGGGGTCTCCAGAGAAAGCGAAGGGACCAAGACGACGGCAATCATACTGGCGGTGCTCATGGTATACATACTGGATTTCAGTATCAATGTCATCCAGGCTGGTATCAGAGCATTTGCAGTTGACAATGCTCCAGCTCATCAACAGGACGCGGCGAATGCCTGGGCAAGTCGAGTCACTGGAGTGGGAAACATTATAGGCTACCTCTTCGGATACACCAATCTGCCTAGATATCTCTGGTTTTTCGGCAATACGCAATTCAAAGTCCTGTGTGTCATTGCGTCTCTAGGTCTCACCAGCACAGTCACGGTTTCCAGCCTTGCCATCTCGGAACGCGATCCTCGGTTAGAAGGAAAGCCTGCAGAGCAAGAAGGAGGCGTTCTCGCCTTCTTCAAGACTCTAGGACGTTCCATGGCACGCTTACCATACCAGATCAAGGCTGTTTGCTATGTGCAACTCGCTGCGTGGATTGCATGGTTTCCATTCCTTTTCTACATCACAACCTACGTGGGACAGCTTTACGTGGACCCAATCTTTCGCGACAACCCAAACATGACTGACAAGGAGATTGATGAAGCATGGGAGCACGGCACTCGAGTGGGCACATTTGCGCTTCTGGTGTATGCAATTGTGTCATTCATTGCAAGTGTGGTGTTGCCATGGTTTGTGGCAAGCTCCTTCAAACCTCCAGAGCCAACGTCCAGGACACCAATGGCCACAACTCCGAGAACTCCTCGGACGCCAGGGCCAGTAAATGCGCACGATGTTAGCTATTTTGACCTGCGGCGCTCGAGCGTTGGTGCTGCGGCCGGTGCGGTCGACTTTGCTGATGGCCAGTCTTTGAAGGCGTCGCAAAAGTCGAATTGGCTTAGACGAATCGGTGACTATGGCGCTTGTCTTGAAATGCCATGGCTTACACTGAAACGAGCTTGGCTTCTGTCACACCTCATGTTTGCGGCCCTTACCTGGCTCACCTTCGCCGCCAACAATACGACCATAGCCACGATCCTTGTGGGGCTCATCGGCATTCCTTGGGCAATGACGATGTGGGCTCCTTTTGCACTGATCGCTGCCGAAGTCAGCAAGCGGGACAACATCCGTCGCGGCCTAATCCGACCACCTCCTACAGTAGAAGGAGAGCTACTCGCAAGAGGCGAAGATGGCAGTGATGGTGCCGATCAGGCTGGTGTCGTGCTCGGTATTCACAACGTCGCTATCGCAGCTCCTCAAGTCATTGCCACGCTGATAAGTTCGGTGATTTTCAAGGCACTGCAGAAACCAAGAGGCACACCGGGCGACGACAGTGTTGCATGGGTGCTGAGATTTGGTGGTTGTCTTGCCCTCGTGGCGGCATGGCTGACGCGGCGCGTCCACGAGGAGGGCGAGTCGGAGGGCACGAAGGCCAAATGGTGAACTGACCAAGGATAGATGTCATCTTGAACAGTGGAATGGATCTTGGTTGGGCAGAAGGTGCCTCACGGCCGAAAGCATTTACAAGTAGAAGCATTCAGCGTAAGCATCATAAACTTGCAGCATCATTCAACATGGAAGTGATACTTTTAAACAGGGAATCGTCGCTCTTGCCTCAACTGCATTTCCAGAGGTCTGTGCTTGCTGGTCAAAGCTTGGATGACTGCACCGGCCGCATTTTCGCCTTCCATTTCATCCTGATTCTCAACTTCCAAATCCACCTTCAACACACCATATCATTGACAATAGATAGCAGACTCTGACGACGGCACCAACCGACAGCCCAACATGGCTTCGCTGAAGGACTCAATACACAGCCCTCACACTACGCTAGCCTTCACCGAACGGCAAGGCGTAGAGTCAATATTCCTCGTTCTCAAGGATATCGAGAATCGACTCAGACAGAACGGTCATCGTACGACTTTCTCGGAGGATGGCATTTATCTGGTACACGGAGAAGCGAAGTCCAATGTTGAGAGTACATTGAAGGTCGAACAGCTTGTCCGCGATTTCAAGAAACGCATGATTGACGAGATCGAAAACGATGCGACGAAGACGGTTGTCAGGAAGCCACGACTGCTCGCCTGCCCGACGATCGCATCACCATCTGACTGGCAAGAGTGTAACATTTCTCGCCATGCTACAGATGGGCTGGGTTGGGATGTGAAAACTGTGGTGACGGCGAGCAAAAGAGAGAAAGTCGCGCCCGCTTCTCAACAGCTATTAGAAGAGGAAGGAAGAGATGGCCAGCATGATCTGGCCACCCATCCTTTATCTCCAGATGCCTCCAGTATCGCCGATGGCATGGGCACGCGAGATGCGACTGAGTGGCCACCACAGGAAAAGCCGAGAGTCAAGCTTCCTTCAAGCCCTGTTGAGACTTTGTCGTCTGAGATAGACCAGACCCTCTGCCACGTCTACAGTGAGCCTCTGACGACAGACGTCGACGAGATACATCAAGACAGACCACTCGACCCGATCGGCCCGAACAACCATCAGATCCCGCACATCTTGATTCAGGAACAACAAGCCAGGATTCAAGAGCTTGAAGAAGAGCTTAAGAGAGCAAATGCGGCAAGGCTTGTCGCTGAGAATAGGGCGCAGGAATTGCAAGAAGAAGCAGAGACACGTGAAGAAATTTCGCCAGCACGTCTAAATATTGAGGATCTGGCTGACGAAATCTTGGTGATCAGCACGAAGAATCGTGTCATGGAGCGCAAGCATGACCGATTGGCGGAATCTTTTGCCCAGCTACAGCAAGACCACGAGTGGCTCTCGCGACACTTGGTGAGGCTTGATTACTCAACCGCACGGATCTCGCAGACCATTAGCACCATTCAAGATGACCGCAAGACCGGAGTCGGATCTGAGCTCCTGGCACGAATGCAAACTACTGTGGAGAGACATGACAGCGAGTGGTTGCCCAACTTGGCAGACAGGCTCAGTGTGATGGAGGTCGATCTGAAAGCGTTGTGGGCTGCTCTGCATGATTATGCACCTCCGGGATCTGCATCTGGTAGCTCATCCCCATAGAGTGGCAACACGCAGCCAGATACGCCGACCACTGGCGGAAAAGATCCGAACGATTGCAAAGGATGTAATGGCGACGCGCTGGTCAAGGAGAACCAAGATGGCACTTTTATGCCTTGTCGATATTGGAGCTCTCTGGCCTAGCGGATCCGGAGAAGTAGTTGTTGCTGCTCGATGTCCGACATCGTTGCGAACGGCGAGTGTGCATTGCCTTATACTACATTGCAGAGCTTGTGTGAGCTTCATATCGATTTTCAACTTCGCATTGCGCTTCAGAACTCAGAGAATGGAGACCTACTCTTCTTTGGGCATCTAGTATTCTGCCGTTGATGCCTTTCGGTTGTTCCACGAGACGGTGTGAAGACAGGGTGGTGCCAAGCCCGTACTTTTAGACTTTCGGTTCGGAGCGGCGATCTGAGACCCTTCACTAAATTTAAAATTGAGAACCTTGCATGAAATTTGGCTGCATGTGATGTGAGTCGGCGGGCATTTTTCGAGATTCCTTTTGAGCTGCGAACTCCGCCGCATCGCTCGGAGAACAGCATTGAGACTCCGTGTGAGCCTCTGGACTGATATTCACTACGCTCTCATTTTACATTTCTCCGGGACCATGACCACGACGATCAGTACGCCAAAAGTTCTCAGTGTGATGGAACGTAGCTAATGACAGTAGGGGTCCCGTGCTCTTCAGCCAACATCGGTACGTGCTTGACAGCTGCTCAGAGATGCTTACGCTGACAAAGTAAAGGTCCTGGCTTCGATGTGATCGGTCTTGCTCTCTCCGACTGGCTTGAACTAAACGTCACAGTCAACGATCCGAAGTCCTCTGGCGCACCGCTCAATTGCAGAGTTACATATGAGGGCCAAGGTGAAGCTGGAGTCGACTTGAATCCGGAAAGGAACCTCATCACTCAGACTGCTCTTTACGTGCTCCGATGTCACGACCTAAGAGCATTCCCAACAGCAACTCATGTTCACATAAAAAATCCTATTCCCCTTGGAAGAGGTCTCGGATCTTCCGGAGCAGCAGTCGTAGGGGGCGTATCTCTTGCAAACGAAGTTGGACAGCTTGGCTTGTCGAAAGACAGGATTCTGGATTTCTGCCTGATGATTGAGCGACATCCGGATAATGTGGCTGCGGCACTTTTCGGTGGCTTCGTGGGAAGCTATTTGAAGGAGCTTGACCCCGAAGATATGAAGCGTAAGGAGATCCCACTAGCTGAAGTGCTTCCTGCTCCACAAGGAGGAGAAGACACAGGCCTCAAGCCTCCGGTGCCACCTTTCAACATTGGCAAGCACATTCGTTTCAGCTGGGCAAAGGAAATCAAGTGCATCGCCATCATTCCCGACTTCGAAGTCAAGACTGCTTTAGCGAGAGGCGCACTTCCGACAGACTATGCAAAGGCGGACGTCATTTACAATCTCCAGCGAGTAGCATTATTGACCACAGCACTTGGCCAAAGCCCACCAGATCCCGAGTTGATCTACGATGGCATGCAGGATAAGATACACCAACCATACCGCAAGAAGCTCATTCCTGGTCTGACAGAAATTCTCCAATCCGTCACGCCTACATCACATCCCGGACTGCTCGGCATCTGCCTTTCAGGCGCAGGACCAACAATTCTGGCCCTAGCCACAGAAAACTTCGACAAGATCGCGGAGCACCTAATCGAGGAATTCAAAAAGAAAGACATCAAATGCGAATACCGACTCCTCGAACCAGCCTACGACGGTCTCACCGTCTCGCACTCCACATCCTCTCCATCCCGATCAAACGACGGCATGACCTACGCCGACGCCGGAGTCTCAATCGACGCAGGCAACCAATTCGTCTCCAAAATCAAATCCGCAGTAAAATCCACCCGCCGTCCCGGCGCAGACGCAGAAATCGGCGGTTTCGGCGGCGCTCTCGACCTCAAAGCCGCCGGCTACGACGAATCCCCAATCCTCATCCAAGCCATCGACGGCGTCGGCACAAAACTCAAAATCGCCTTCGCCATGCAAGAATTCTGGCAAGTGGGTATCGACCTCGTGGCCATGAACGTCAACGATCTCGTCGTGCAAGGTGCCGAACCTTTGACTTTTATGGATTATTATGCCTGTTCGAAACTCGAGCCTGATGATGCGTTGAAATTTGTGGAGGGGGTTGCGATGGGGTGTGTGCAAGCTGGTGCGGCGCTTGTTGGTGGTGAGACGGCGGAGATGCCGGGGATGTATCAGGGCAAAGACTTTGATGCGGGAGGTGCTGCTACGGGTGCGATTCGGAGGGGACAGAAGGTTTTGCCTGATAAGGAGGGTATGGGTGAAGGGGACGTCTTACTTGGTTTGGGGAGTAGTGGTGTGCATTCGAATGGTTTTTCTTTGGCGAGGAAAATTCTGGAGAAGAAGGGACTGGATTTCCATGACCAAGCGCCGTGGGCTGAGGATAAAACCGTGGGAGCGAGTTTGCTGGAACCTACGAGGATCTACGTCAAGCCTCTTCTTGCGGCTGTGAAGAAAGGCCTACTTCTGGGAATGGCGCATATCACGGGTGGAGGTCTGGAAGACAATATTCCACGAATGCTGCCTAAGCATTTGGCTGCCGAGATTGATGCTTCTGCGTGGCCTGTGCCGGATGTGTTGATGTGGTTGAAGAAGGCTGGGGGCGTGAGCAGCAAGGAGTTCGCACGAACGTGGAATACTGGGCTTGGGATGGTGATTGCTGTGAAGGAGTCACAGGTTGCTGCTGCGACGGAGGCTTTGATCGGTGAGGGCGAGAAGGTTTACAGGGTGGGAAAGTTGGTGTCGATGCAGGGTGAGGGTGTTGTGCTCAAGAATTTTGAGCATTGGGACAGGTAGACGTTATGGGTTGAAAGCGTTTCGGTACTGTGTCTGAGAAAGCAGTGTTTTCTGGTTACGCAGTTGCGGCGTGTTGTGATTTGAAGCCGTTGCCAAGGCTCACAAGCTTCATTATCTCCGTTTCACTCCTTCCTGATTTCAGAGAAGGTTCGCGTTAGCGTGATTCGACGCGTTGACAGCGCTGAGGACAAGAAACTCAACAATTACCACCACGCGAGGTCATCCATCTGTCATAAGCTCGCCATCAAGCGCGCGGTAAGCATCCCCGATCAGAAGCATTGTAGCTCGTTGCTAACAACATCGCAGGGCAACGAGGATGGAGTGTCCGTCGCCGCTGAAAGCGCAACCCCCAAATCCAGCGCCTGTCAACCCGAGCGATACCGCCAGCATCCATGGCATTCTCAATAGACTCGAGCTCCTTGCCTTCAACATGAAGTTCCGCGGCCATGCAGTTCCATCTCGCACCATCAACATGATCAAGACTTCGAGGCAGAGTCAACTCTCCGAACGCCAGCTCGACCGTCTATACGAAGTGCGCTCCCACTGTAAAGCTTTTAGTAGAGCTGTCAAGGGCCAGCCACCGGAAGCCGACCCAGTCAAGCTCAAGGCCGATCTCGATAAGAGTCAGGAAAAGATTGTGGAAATGCGTCGCGGGATCATGGATATTCAGAAGGATGTCCAGGCCCTTCAACAGGAAAACATCCAGCAGCTTTCCCACAAACAGGGTCGTAGGGACGAAGTGGTTGATCGGGAAGAGTTTGTCGCTGAGAAAGACGAAGACGGCACGCCAACATGCATGCTCCCTTCTTCGCCCTGGATCAGGACCGATCAGGACCGAATCAGAGGATGTGGTGTTTGGAAAGCAGAGTCTGCCCCGAGGGCTGCTGCCGAGGCCGACATTGCTCTTCGTCGGGTCCTTCTGAAGACAAAAGATATGTTCCCGCCCATCATTCAACTGAGGAGGGTAGCGTCAGCCCTCGAGCTTATCGATGCAAAACACCATGCCGACTTTTATTACCGTGACCTAGACGCTGTGAGTATGACGTTGGACTGGTTGGCAAGATCGACATTGGACAGGCGGGAGGCAATGACAGCATATGCGCGCGATCTAGAAGAGCGTCGAGAGGTGCTGAAGGAGGCTGGCTTTCGAGTTCCCGAGAGTTGCGGACGATATCTCATACTGGAGGCCGCCGCTCGGCACCTACGAGAGCTGGTTTCGCAGAATCTGCATAGCTCGTTGGACATGGTCGATGCTAATAAGAAGAATGCCGAAGCGTTGGCCAGGACTAAAGCAGCATGGGATAAAGAGCTCCACAAGACTCAAAATAATCGGAAGACAACGGAGGAGACTGAAGAGGCCTAACGCAGTTGTTCAAGAATCGTGCGAGGCATGTCTGACCTGCCAGAAATTTGAAGGACCAGGCCTTGCGGGCACGTGGAAGCCGCCGACAGTGTCCGCGTCAAAGGAAGCCGCTGCATCGAGGACCATAGCATACAGCGCGCAGTTCCCAGCAGTAGCAAAGCTTATCACGTTGAAAGATGGCCCGAATAAGCTTGCGTCCATGAATTGTCGCTTGAATCTGATCGATGTCGTGTGGCCAAGAACAATTCCATATCGGGCCAAGACCACGTACGTCAGAGTTTCTGTCCGCCTGAAAATGAGGCATTCTATTTCTGCCTAAGATCTCTTGCTGTTGCACAAGTCGTCCTCCGACCTCTCATCGCTGTATTCTTGCTCCATTTGGCTAGTCTCCCGCTAACCTCATTTGGTGGAAAAATAGCGAGCTGCTCAGGTCCAGTGCAGACGACTTCTTATTAGTGACTGCACAGGCTTGCACAGTTCCCTGGTCGTGTCATGAATGGCGTGCAGAGTATTCAAGGCCACTGCGACTTGGTCTATCTGTCTGAATGTTGGCGTCGTCTAGTCACGTGCCCTGCCAGCCCGTTCACGGCGATGCTTGAAAGCTCTGCGGTTTTGTTCCTATGGCTTGGAGAATCACTTTCTTCGTCCATCTCTCCGTTTACGTCCGGGTCTTGTCGCCGGTGAAGACTTGAAAGAGGGCGATAAGGTGCGGGCCGGAATTTCGCTCGGCAGGCGTGTGAGCACTGCGATTATGAAGGTCGATTTGCAATTGTTCGCACGTTGCTGGACCTTGCTCCTCGTGAATGTAGAGATCTTTCACTTGACCTTGGCCTCTTCTCCGTCAGCGATGATGGGCGTTATTGGTGACCCTGGTGTGGCCGGCGAGACAGGCCGGCTGACGCGCTCGGTGACATCGACGTCGTCTCCCACACGCAAGACAGCTCCGCTTGGACCGGCGCATGCATACTGCCCAAATACCGGCTTGTCTAGAAGCAAAGTCAGCCGCGAGCATCTCCTTTCGTGTGCACGCCACCCACGTGGGAATAGATCATTCACTCTGCGATCCTTTGCCAATAAGCCATATAGTTGTCGATTAGTATTGATCATGCTCCCTTTCGCTAAGTCTGCATTCAAGCTCAAGCACCGAACGCATCGGAACAAGCAGCGTATAGACACCTCTTGTGCGGGATCGGCTTTCGACCGCACGGTCAGCAGATCCCATTGATCTTCGTCGTACGGTGCGGCTTCATTGCCCACATCGACATGGATATTTGGCCGGAACCTGACAATAACATCTTCGCCACGGGCGGAGGGTGGTAATCTCCTTCTCGCATCTTCCTCTGATGCTGAGGATGTGACGAGAATTGGAGCTGCATCCGCAAATCTGACTCGTTGAGGTTGCAGCTTGTCGTTGACGGCGATAGAAAGTGCTCGATATTTGTGCTTCGGCATGAAGACCGCACCTGGAATCTCTCGTTGGCCAGTGCCGCCGATATACAGAAGGCGCACAGGCTTTCCGAGGTGGAAAGTGAAGTACTTGGAGACTTCCTCGCCCATATCGATGCCCGGAGCTTTGGTACCGAAGATGCTGACTTGGTACACAGGTGCGTTGAACAAGCTCACGGGAGATGGAGTCAGTGGTAGAGTAATGGCAGCGTTCTCGTCAGCATGGATATGCGTGATGGTGAGCTTGGACCATGAACGATCAATCATGGTATGGAACAGGCCCAGATCGAAATGGTTCTTGATGGTGATATGCTCGGCGAGTCCTTGCGTCTCGCTGGTCGGCGGCTTGACCAGGACATATTGACGGTCGAAGCGAAGGCCTTCGTTGGTGATCTCTGCGGCATGGACTTCCACAGGCCGCAGAGATTTGACCGGGTAGATGAATAGCTTTGCGCGCAGCGTCAACGTTCATGCCCATGCCGAAAGACTCCTCGTGCTGACATACCCGCTTGATCTTCATCTCGGACTCGGAGCCTGCACGCCCGGTCGCATGCCGAGCCGTGAAAACGCTGGGGAAGTGAAGAACACACAATAGCGTGCAGACACCACATAACAACGTTGTCGTCGCTGAGTTCGACGCCCTTGTCGGCGTGTCCCGGGACGGTGGGGGCGGGGTGGGGGTGGGGGTGGGGCGGTGGTCGGGACCCGATGGTTGCCTCAGTCGGACTTGATTGGCCAGCGGCCCGTCTGACGACTTATTCAGCCATTCACCTGAGATATCTTCCACCCGCACAATTCACATTCCACTACGCTGGCCCATTCAGGAAGCCAGCAGCGAGCACGAGTGGCGTCGTGCTGATTGTTGTCTTGTGCTGGAGTGCGCGCGTGCCTCGCTGCAACATACCTGAATGGCGCAAGAAGCATCCGAACGGGCGTGCGACAGGTGCAGAGAGCGGCGCGTCAAGGTATTCTACGGGATTGCCAATTCAGGCTTGCGACTTCACTGACCACGTCTTGCAGTGCGATAAACGCCAGCCCACATGTCTCCGCTGCGAGAAGCTTGGCAAGCCTTGTCCTGGCTACGACAAGAAACGGAAATTCGTCGATGAAGGCATCACCTTGCGCAAGAAGTACCAGAACTCCGGCGACCATGCTTCCGGCAATGAACACGTCGCTGCACCAGTGTGTTTTCGACATCCTTCACATGTCTGCCGAGCCTCCAATGTTGACCGCTTTGTAGCACCGAGACATCACCGCTCAAGCCAGTGCCACACCAAGCACCAACTCGCCAGCAGTCAAATCGACGGCCCAAAATGCTCCAAGCGGCCCAGCAAGCCTTCCACCGAACAGGGTCGCGGGCATTGACACTGCCCGGTTTGCACAAAGCGCTGCGTCTCCCAGCACTCCATCCCATGCATTGCCCGCCCTTCCACTCGATCCTCTGACTGAAGCAATGCTGTTGGCAGACACGCCTGCTCAGATCCCCCTTGCAGATGCAGACCCTATGCTCGATGACATGTGGAAAGCCCAGACCTTCGACCCAGAGTTCTTCGACCTGCAGCCCGATGCTTATTATTCCGCAGCGGGCAACACTTGTGGATTCCTACCGAACGTGCCAGAAATCGTAGACGAAGTCGATCAGAGCGATATATTATTGAACAATTCCGTTTCAGGAACGCCCCTATCGACCGCCATAATATCAGGATCTTATTCTGATAGCCAGTATGTTGTCTTTGACCGCGTCTTGTATACCAGTGCTGACCTCGTCTGACATAGTAATTTGTGGGCTCCCGAGTCACAACTCACGACCAGCGCCCTTATAACACATGAACGCGACCATGAGATGGCTTACCTGATCAGGCATTTCACAGAATCGATAGGTCCTTGGTAGGTGGCTCATGATCGAGGCGCCGACCGCCATTGCTGACCTCGTCTCAGGATGGACCTGTTTGATAGAGACAAGCACTTCACCCATCTAGTGCCTCTGAAAGCGCTTCGAGATGCGTTGCTGCGCAATGCTATTGCCGCCGTCGCAGCGAAGCAACTCGGACGAACCAAAGGCACTAAGCCTTTTACCTACCAACAGTCACAGAAGCCATCAGCAATGGAAGTGCTGGAAGATAGCAACGTCGACTGGTTCTATAAGGCCGCGAATTATTACGACAAAGCCATTGCCTTCTCACGCCAATATCTCCAAGCTGTCTCGGGTGGTTTGAGCAATCCGCCCAGTCCAGATGCGCAGATGGCCGCTTCGATGGCCAATTCAGATGACTTGATTGTGGCTGTGTCCATCTTCTCACTTTATGAATCCTTGGACAATTTTGACACCGGCTGGCTGCAGCATCTGGCAGGTCTGAAGTCTCTTCTGAAAGCTATGAGTCCTTCGCAGCAGATGGAGAACCAGGTTTCACCTTCGCTTACAGTAGGGCGACTTGCATCATTCTGGAATTTTGCAAGGGCAGACTATCAAGCTGCATACCTCAATCGGCAGACGACGCTTCTTGACACCGACGACATGGCGCTTTGGAATAGTTGCGGGCTGGAGGTGCAGCACGACGGGTCCTTGTACAAATCGCCTGAACATATCAAAGACGATCCAAGGCACTGTCGCGTGCTTGCAGAGCTGGTGGCACACACCTTGCTCTGGCTAGTGCTCCGCGTTATGAACTACCTCACCAGTGATGAAAACTCGACAGCGAGACAAAGCCAATGGGAACAGCTCTCCCGGCAGCTCGATCACTGGTACGGGAACTTACCAGCTACCTTCCAGCCTGTCGCGCAGATCCGGCATCCAGCTTCTGGTCGGACTTCGCGGTCGCAATTGACAGAGGCATTCTTCAGCATCGATGTGTGTGCTGCTTCTTTGCAACTGTACCACTTTGCACGAATATTGCTGCTGCTGCACCGACCCATCAACGTGGAAAGGAGCGCGTTTAGGAATAGGCTCAAGGCGTATCGAGAGGTATCCACGGAAGCGATTCGACATGCTCACGAGATCATCGGGATTGCTCTTGGTCGTCCACAGCCGGCGATTCGTGTTGAAATGCTCCTCCCTCTTTCTACTGCCGGCGCGTGCCTCGAAGAAAACGATGAACGTAAGGCAGTGCTGGAACTTCTCCGGGCCATTGAAAAGGATACCGGATGCGCCACGGGACTTCGATGCCGGGAGTTAATGCAGGAATGGGGCTGGACTGTTGAACCAGAGGGCATAGCATGAGCTTTTCACACGCCACACGCCAGGCCATCATCAGAAGCTGTCTCACCTTCATCACATCCACAATCTCGTGCTGGTGAAAGTCTGAGGCGCTCCAGCACGATTCAAGCATGAGCGGACAACCGCCTTCCCGACGGCATGGTGGTCCTAAGGATTCGGCATCTCGAGTCTGGACTCCACACCAGCACGCGATGCAAAACTGCCGTCAGCCACCCGCATCGGCCGAAGCTTTCATTGGCGGACCCTGAGTGCACACTAATAGATGTTTGCAGAAGGCTGGATGAGACAACGACAGCGTATCCGCTGTAAGACACTCACTACTGCTCGCCGTCTGCAGTAGTTCTGCATGACGGTTGCGTGTTGTACACGAGAGTCATGGCACGGCGCGGCGCACGAACGAGTGGCGGTTGACCTATCCTCGAAACATCGTCTACAATCATGCAACTCGGCATCAGCAATAATGACATTTCTGGTCTAAGGAGCGAACGAGTTCATTACGAACGAAATCCACTAATCACACCTCTCAAAACGAAAGTATCCGACCCCCAGCAAATATCCTTACTGTCCAAGAATGCTCTTTTCACTCCCATCATTTCTTGCATATTGCCAAACACTTCTTCGAAGCATCAACAAGCGCCGGAGGCAGAAGGGGATAGTACTGCTCAATATCCCCAATTTCCGCCTCCTGCATGCCTGCATTCAAATTATCCCCATCCGCGACCTGCTGCAACACTGCTGTGATGCCCCCATCTTCGGAATTAAATGTGGCAATGGTGGTTGCCTTCTCGCACTTCTCTGAGTCGTTGATCTGCCAATGAATGCTTCCTTGAGGAAAAAGTGTGCCCTGGAATCGACTCAGCGTGCCATTGATAGTACCAAGAGGCTTCGCCGCATCGGACGGATTTATCGTGCTCTCGAACATAGCACCGAATCCCACTTCGCCCTCAATGACGGCGAAGAACTCATTGGCACGTGGATGAACGTGCGGGAAAAAGATGCCACAAGGTCCGAGCGTGGCAATCGAGAAGCTTATGCCGGAGTCGATGAGTAGGGGGAAGTTGTCAATGAAGGCCTACGGGACCGCTCAGCGTTGTTCTTTGAGACTTGAAACGACTTGACACTCACCCTGGACACAGCACCTCCCTCACCACCAGGAACCGGATACTGTTCGTTGAAGTCGAATACTGTAGCCTTGACGACATCACCGCCATCCAGAATGTCGTGGAACTGCTCGAGCTTGGTGCCGTCCGTCTTAAGCTTGGCAATCAACGCCTTGTTGTCGTCCGAAGCCTCGGCGCGTTTCATGGGACTTGCTGATGCAAGCAGTGCACTGTGTGCGACTACGGCCCATAGCATCTTCATGGTCTTGCTCTCTGGATTTCGCAGGAAGTATGGATGGAATTGTGACCAAGCTTGATTTGAAAGGAGATGATGGCGAAGGACAAGAAGGAGCGGACGATGTCCTCTATATACTCCACTGCGACCACCGACGGAGAGCCCTTGATGAAGTGGCAAGCTGAGGTCTCTTGCGGACTCAGTCGGGAGGCTATGAGGCTGAAGGAATGCTGACATCTTGGCGTCAACGCACACGTGAGGCAGAACGTAAACGAGAACGCGAACGACAAGGATATTAAGCATCATTCTTGGCTAGGGTTTGGGCCCGTCCTTCATCATGCTGACTTTTCTATTTCCACGTCGGGACGCTTTCGATACTTCGAAGCGAACGATAATGACTATACACCATCCTAGCGATGTGCAAGAATTCCAATTGATGACACCAAGCCGGAACACATCCTAGGTAGTGGTTGCCTGCACACTCACAGCACTTCGCAAGGTCGAAGGCGCATGCATCTGCAAATGCAAATGCAAATGCAAATCAGTATTGGTACCGGCCGCATGCGTCATCAGAACGGCCATCCTCGAAGCATCATGCGTCGTAATCAGCTACGCGAAAGAGCTATAAAGCGTTCAACCAATCTCTCATGAGGGCACTCATCTTTGCATCCCTTCGACAACCAAACAAATATGCATTTGACACTTTCCGCTCTGGCCGCAGCATTGACGCTGCAAAGTCAGCTATGCTTTGCGCAGCCAACAAGAACACCCAACTCGCCTGTTGACAAGGACGACTTCAAAAGCGCAATCGTCAACATCAAGAATGCGATCTGGCATTTGCCGCGGAGTGGCCCAGCCATGTGTGTCTCCGGAATAGTGGAAGTCAACGCTGCGACACCTAAGAACCTGGTTTTCGACTATGAGCTCCCAAAGAACCAATCGCAGGCCGCTGAGTGGACTGTGGATGGACTTACTGCAAGCTCTGGCCTTCCGGATTCAGTCATCACGGGTACGCAGAATGTTGAAGGCACGTTTGATATCGGTGCAACTCTGTGTCTTCCAAATAACAACACAAAGCCATCGACCGTCCAGATCCTGACGCATGGTTTTGGTTTCGATCGCTACTACTGGGTGAGAAGGCTCCACCCTGTTGGCCACGTTGGCATGAGACTAACTGTCAACAGGACTTTGCTCCAGGATATAGCTGGGTGGATATTGCCGCCCAGCACGGCTTTGCAACGTGAGTCGCTCCACAAAGTCCGCGATACCGCAGCAACAGCTAACACTTACGCAGCCTCTACTATGACCGCCTCGGCGTCGGCGAGTCAGATACACCAGATGCTCTCAACATCGTGCAAGCACCGCTTGAAGTTGAAATCGCCCATCACCTCATCTCAATGCTCAAATCCGGATACTTCGGCCTCGAATTCTCCAAAGTCGTAGGCGTTGGCCACTCGTTCGGCAGTGGTATCACGCAGGGCGTCACAACACAATACCCACAAGACCTCAACGCCGCAATCTTAACCGGCTTCTCCCTAAACACAACAGGCCGAAACTCCTTCCTCGCGGCCCTCAATCTCGAAATAGCCTCACTCAACGCCCCTTACCGCTTCGCTTCAACTCCCCCCGGGTACCTCGTCTCTTCCACCATAGTATCCCAACAAATCGCCTTCTTCAAATCCCCCGGCTTCGACCCGGCCATCCTCCATTCCGTCGAATCTTCAAAAGCTACCGGCACGATCGGAGAATTTTTCAGTTTGGGCGTCGTCGTTGCGCCCGCGACTGAATTCGAGGGGCCGGTGGCTGTGATCAATGGTGTCAATGATTTACCTTTTTGCGCGGGGGATTGTAGGTATCCTGTGGATCTGGCGGAGGCGGTACTGCCTGTGCTTTATCCGGCGGCGAAAAATAAGGATACGTATCTTGCTCCCAATGCGGGTCATGGGTTGAATCAACATTATACTGCGGGTAGGGCTTTTGTGTTTGCGCAGGAGTTTTTGGAGAAAGTGTTGTAGGAGTGGGTTTGAGGTTCGGGAGGGTGTTTTAGAGATAGATAAGAGAGATATTTTCCGGCTAGGTTTCTAACTGTCTCGACCGTGTGCTAATTTTTCACGAGTTATAGTTAGATAAATTTCTAACTCGCCTTTAAATCGACTCGCAATCCTATACTTAAGGTCTAGTTTATTCCCGATATCTGCCTCCCTAGTAGAATAGAGCTAGAGGATATCTTAGCGATAGGGGGGGGGGGGGGGGAGATTCAGTTGTTATAGGGAGAGAACTACATTTTTTTGGTACTTTCACACGTGTGTAATATACAAAAAGTCGAAAAAAACAAAAAATTCCAAAATTCAAATTTGTGTTTTTTTTTCTCTGAAGTAAATAGAAATCATTCCATCCTCCTTCCTTCCTTCCTTCCTTTCCTATTATCATCATCTCAGTCGACTGACATGTCGTCTTCCCTAGCGTCGACTCATTGTAATTAGTCGATGGGAATGATATAGTCGTCGACCGCTTCAGCTCCGTGACGCTTGTCGATGGGAATAATATAATCCTCGACCGCTTCAGCACCGTGACGCTTTTCGATGGCCTCAGCACCGTGACGCTTGTCGATGGGAATGATATAGTCCTCCACGGCTTCAGCACGCTTGTCGACGCGTGCAATAATGGGCGCAAGCTGAGAAGGAATTCGAGAGTCAGCATGATACTTGATGATATTGTGGTGGCGGCGGCGGCAATCAAACCCCAATAGCCGCGCCGAAAGCACCTGATGACAGGGCAATCAGAAGCCAGGCAGCGTAGTTCTTGTGCATGGTGGTTGCGTGATGTTCAAAATAGTCTTGTCTTGGTCGTGGATTTTCCGCTCTCCGTCTCTGAAAAAGGGTAAGGTGAAGTCGCCGATGGAGGTCTTCTTCTAAATCAATTGGACCTCTTGCCGTCATTTTACGCTTGGTGCCTGAACAGTAATGGCGCCGCCATGTCACGGTTGGCGCCTGAGCAGTAATGGCGCCGCCAATACAGATGCGCCTGGAGTCGGTGTCGATGCACGTAGCACGCGCCAAACCACTAGGCGCCTATGCGTACCTGAAGCTTTCTTTTTGCCCCCTGCTCTAATGGCGATTCGATGGGTTTCGCTTATCACATGGGTAGCGTATGTTCCTCTGGCTTATGAATGATGCGATTCAAATACCTCCATCCTCTACCTCAGCCGAGTCAGCAAACGTCCGCATCACCATTCTTCATCTCCCAACATAGACGGGGCAAAAATGGACTCACTAGTAGCGGTGGCATTGTTGCGCGCGCCAGCGCCTAAGCAGCGCCTGCTATCCTTGGAAAGGAAGTAACCTTTACTAGGACAAATACTCTCGTGATAGCGCACGTCATGACCGTCAAACTGTGTATTCATGTCGCTTACGAGAATAGTAGTATGATGTTTGTGCTCGGGAGTAATTCTTTCCAGCTTCGCCACTCTACAGGAGAGCCTGACGATGATGGTCTGTCTACTTCATGCCAGGATAAGGTCAGCAATCTTTTGAGATCCTGCATTGCCGGCAGCTTAGAGGCTGCCATTGCGGCCTTAAAGAATTCTCGCTGTGCGCCTATCGCTACAGCGCCAGCAACGCAGAATGGCCAGGGTAAACTCTGCGACTCCATTATGCTTTTGTGCATTTCCCATGCAGCGATGAAGCGATCGACGCTTTCTTGCACTTCGGGTGCGCGTATAGATCCTCCGGAGACGGTGAGATGGAGTTCGATCAAAATTGCCCTGAGGAAGATGTAGGTCCTCACGTGTGCGGTGCGCGAGCTCTTCGAAGATAGAGCAGCTAGAGTTTCTACACCAGGTGACGTAAGAGGCGATGATAGTCTCACAGACAAGCCTTGCATTGCTTTCTCAATGCTGCATTCTATATCATTGGCTTTGTCAAGTAGGTTCCGATAGCTGAGCTCGCTACGCGTCTGCCGCTCTCGCTTCCATTCGTCCAGGGCCATGATATCGAGAAGAATACTGAGCGCTTTCCCATCACACATGGTGGTGGCGAAGAACACGGCCGAGAAGTCCACAAAAGAGAGAAGTTTCTGGTAGGTAGCGGCTGCCGGAGCCGCCTTGCGCTGGATCGAGCAGGAGATCGCATCGTTCCAGATGAGCAGCGAACAGAAACAGTATGCTGCCTGGGTCTCCAAATATGTATGGTCGATGCCATCTGCAGTGGGCTCGGGAGCCCGAAAATAAGCAGATGCAGAAGTTTTGTGCTGCAGATGAGAAGGACATGGCACTGCCTGCTCTTGATGATCTGATGTGTTATTCAAGCTCGACGCGGCAAGGTCCAGGTACGATTGACAGTCGGGCAAACACTGAAATTGGGACTATTGAAAAGCGCAAGCACACAACGATCAGCTTGGATTGTTGCAGAAAGATGGTGTTCGTGGCGTCCAAGTAGCGCATGGGAAAGACATACCTCGAGATGAGCCAGGTGCGTCGCCACAATGAGATCCTCGCCAAGGACAGCGATTGAGCCTGCCTGCAGCTCTGCAAAAATCTGTATGGCATATGCGTGGTGCTTATGAGCGACTTGTAGTGTGCTTCGAAAGGGCTCGCTACCCGAGACGAATTGGGAAGACTCTCGTAGTGCAGCCATGCTGAGGGAGCATTGCAGAAAGGCGCGGGAGCGACCTAGGAGATGTAATAGCCAACCTCTGCTTGAGTCTCGGGTGCCCAGTTTAGGACTGTAGTAGTCGAGGAAACGCATGACGAGGTCGTATTCACGGCTCAGAGTCTCTTGCTGATGCTCATCTGGAAGAGCAGGGCCGCGTGAGACAATCAAGTTCGCCAGGTCGGCCTGGACGCCGTGTATACCGACAGGATCATGGTTTTGTATGCGGGCGGACGGGCCGGACAACGAGGCTTGGTGCGACGAATCGTGCAAAGCGCTTGGCACGAAAGGTGTTCCGGAGTGCGAAGACAGCAAGTTCGAGAAATCGAACACGGTGTCGAGATCCATAGAGGGGTGGCTCTGGTGCGGCTGATCAGTGTCAGTAGCAGCGGTAGAGTAGCCTAGCGGCGACAATGGCCACGAGGGTACGTCGGATTCGGTAGGTGTGATGAGGATGGCACCGGCATCATCCGAGGGGCCTATCGGTGAGTTCAGGGCTGATAATAATGCACCATCCCCATCTCCACCGTCACGGCTGCTAATTTGTCGAGACTGCCGGCGCGAGGAGAGAGCTAGTCTGGCAGCCTCGCGCTTCTCCTTGACGCCTTTGTCCTTCCAGTCGGGCTTGGGGCCGTAGCCGTGACAGAAGACGTCCCGCTCTACGCAATTGAGGCAAGGCGGTCCATCCTCGAAGCACTTTTTGCGCCGCAGCCGACACGTCCAGCAGCCGCGTTTGGATCGTTGTTGCTGCTGTTGCGTGGCAGACATAGTGGTTTATATTTATTGCTGTGCTGGCGTCTTGGACGTTTTCTGCATCGAAACAGGATGTGTCAGACGCAGCTGGTCAGGGACAGCACGGTGAGTGTTGGCCCTGCCCCTGAAGACGGTAGTCCACACGGCCATAAGAATAGCCACTGTCACCGCTGTGCAGACTTCTTTGGACCAGATATACAGCACGATTAAGCGAGATGGCGGACGGGGGTAATCCCCGTAAACGGCAGCTAGCTTGAAAGCGTTAGACGTAGACTTTTTAAAGGTACGGATAATTCCTTTAGGCAGTACGCTAGCTTTGACCAGTTAGATCCCGTTTCCAGGGATCACCGCCGTCCGCCATCTCGCTTAATCGTGCTGTATAGTCTTGTTGTTACGATGCTGGTGTGACCACGAACTCATCCTCCCTGCCTGCACAGTGCTTTGCGTCAAGAGTGTGGACGATGATGGTAATAATAACGGCGTGCCCAGGCGACGCCGACGATCGTTTCGGCCCCGGCGTGGCGACATCGTGCCGGCGCTTCGACTTCACGCTGCTCTTCGAAGACGTCTTTTGCACATTACTGCCGTGCACCGTCTTCATTGTCGCTGCGACCCTCCGCATCGCCATCCTGCTTTTCCGCCACCCTGACAGCCGCCTGCATGGACTCGTGGGCCCACAACACCAATACCGGCTATTCCCCGCACTCGTGCCTGTCGTGTATCTCGCCACCTATGTAGCTCTCGACGGCGTGGCGTTTGCTGGTGCGCTCCAAGACGGCCGAGGAGGAGGAGGAGGAGGAGGTCGGAGAATACATGTCGCAGGAGCGGGCGTGGCGTTTGCGGCGGCGCTGGCAGTGCCTGTGCTCTGGCTGGTCGAGAAGTGGAAGCGCGGCCCTACACGGCCGTCGATGATCTTGGGCCTGTACCTGTGTATCCGCTTGCTGCTGCGCGCCGTCACTGTGCGCACCGCCTGGCTCGTGGCGGCGACCAGTGCATACACACACACAGCGACGGCGGCATTGGCCGTGCACGTGCTCGTGCTGCTAGGAGACGAGTGCAGTCCCCTCCTACTTCTGCGCCAAGCCGCTACGCCCCCCACGACGCGAGAGTCGCGCGCGGGCTTCCTCAGTCGCAGCGTGCTCGCGTGGCTGCTCGCTCTGTTGCGCGCTGGATTCGCCCGACACCGCCGTCTGAGCGTCGACGACCTGATCGCCGTCGCCAACGCCCCCTCCAGCTTCACCACTCTCGATGCCTTCCACCGCGGCCGTGGTGGCCTCCTCGAGCACTCGCTGACATGCACCGCCGTGCCGGGTCTGTTGTGCGTGGCGCCGCGACTCGGTGCCGGCGCCTTCGCCTTCACCCAGCCCTTCCTCACCACCGTCCTTGTCGACTACTTCTCGCGCGCCGACAAGCCGCTCCATCGTGGCTATGGGCTCACGGGCGCGTGTTTCCTGGTCTACACCGGCATCGCCATTGCCCACGCGTGGTATCGCACGCTCGCCTGCCGCTGGGCAACGGCCGGCCGCGCTTTGCACACCGACCTGATTGTGCAGAAATTGTCTCGGCTCGCGGTCGACCATGTCGCCGAAGCCCAGGCTCTTACCATGATGAGCTCCGATGTGCAGCGCATCGCCGTCGCCACCACCTTTGTCCACGAGCTGTGGGCCGCTCCCCTTGAGGCTGGCGCGGCAACATACCTGCTCTGGCGACAGCTAGGCCCGTCCTCGCTAGCCGCCTTGGCCATTGCTCTGGGTACATCGCCTTTTCCCTGATCTGCCTCTTCGCACATGCTAATGGATCGTAGTGTGCGCGGGGCTCTCGATGATTCTGGGGCGACGCATTGGCCCCGCGCAGCGTGCGTGGCTCGAGGCCTCCGAACGACGAATCTTGGCAACGCGGAAGTTCCTGACATCGCGCAAGGCTGTGAAGATGATGGGACTGGATGCCGCTGTGGCTGCGACCATCACCGACTCTCGCCAGCAGGAATTCGCCGCATCGAAGCCATTTCGTGCTCTGATGGTGGGAAGCGTGGTAGTGTGTAAGTGAGGTCGTCGATATGTGCGGCGTCAGCTGATTGCATACCCCAAAGCCTTCTCCACTCTGTCACTGGCACCCGTCGTCACATTCGGCGCTTACGTAGGCATCCACGGTGCCGCCTTTGATGCGGCCCAGCTATTCGGCTCGCTTGTTCTCATTAGCCTGCTTGCAAGTCCCCTGGTGCGAGTATTCCAGATCATTCCCCACTTCGCCGCAGCCTTGGCCTGCATTGCTCGACTCGAAACGTTTCTGCGCAGAGACGATGCGCATGCTGAACGTGCAACGATCGTTCATTCATCTCACCCTCGACTCCAACGTGGCATTCATCAAGTCGACCCGGAGAAGAGCTTGTGTCATTCTGCGCCTCATTCGCCAGGGAGTATCCTCATCGAAAATGTCCACATGAGCTGGGACTCGCATGTTCTCTTCGCCGGCATCAATCTCCGCATCCCAAATGGCCATCACTTAGCTATCACCGGCCCAGTCGGCTCGGGTAAGACCACTCTACTCCGCCTCATGCTGGGCGAGATTGCTCCCACCGATGGAATCATCATGGTCGACAGATCCGTCCCGGTTGGCTACTGTGCCCAGACACCGTGGCTCGAGAATCTGCCTGCCTACGACAACGTATTCCAGAATACTGCGCCAAACGATGCGTGGCGAGAAACGATCATCGATGCATGTGCAATCCGTCCGTTGCTCGACTCAAAGACTAGCAGTGCTGCTGGTGAGCCGATCGGTAGTCGAGGCTCCATGCTCAGCGGCGGCGAGAAACAGCGTCTGGTATGTGAACCACTCTGTATGGCTTGTCTCTGCTGCTTACCTCCTTTCGCCAGGCTCTTGCGCGAGCGGTGGCACTGCGGCCCTCGGTGTTGCTGCTCGACGATCCTTTGAGTGCTGTTGACCGCGGAACCTTGGTCCACATTACGAATCGGCTCTTTGGTCCTGGTGGCATCTTGCGTCAATCGCAAACGACTGTTGTTCAAATTGCAAACAATGGTTAGTCTCGCGCTCAACCTCTCTCGTTTGCTGCTATACAGGCGTCTCACTCACGGGGATTCTCCAGATTATATGGCCAGCTTCGCCGATGAGGTGCTCAGAATTGATGCCGATGGCTGCCTACGGTCTCACGATAACTACCCTCGGTCACAATGCAACAGCGGTGATAAAAAGCAATGGAAGATGGACAGCCAAAGCACTAATGTGGGGCAGACAGAGAAAGCTTTATTGCATCCTGCAGCCACTGCTCTTTCCAGCGCACGATTTACCCGCGTGCGTGACACGCAGGTGTATAGGTTGTACTTTACCTCGATAGGACCTGGGATCTTCACTGCCTTCATCATCTGCGGGATGATTTTCGCCCTCACCATGAAGTTTCCCAGTAAGTAATGTTTCTGAACTCACAAGATCCTATGGGTAACAGGCGTGGCAGATATCTGGGCGACGTGGTGGGCCGACTCTCTAACCAAACATTCTGCTAGCCGAAGTCTTGGAATCTGGATGGGCCTCTACGCTCTTTTTGGTTGCCTGCCTCTGGTCGTGCTGTCTGTATGGCTGAGGTGTGTTGTGCTGAGCAGCCTTAGCCGTCGATATCGTACTGACGATTCTGACAAGCCTTTTAATGCTAAACATGGTACCCAAGTCAGGTCTTGGATTCCATGCGCAGCTGCTGAGGACGGTGCTCGGCGCTACGCTCAGCTGCGTCAGCGGAAGTGACATTGGAGATCTGATGAATCGCTTCAACCAAGACATTGGACTCATCGACTCCCGGCTGCCTCTCAGCCTGCTTAACACAGTCTCGGGCATGTTCTTGTGTATCGCACAGCTCTTCATCGTAGCTATACCTGCGGTTTACATACTGGCCGCTCTGCCTATCTTGCTTGCGGTGCTTTCCATTTTGCAAATTGTATACCTACGAACATCGAAGCAGTTGCGACAGCTTGATCTGCAATCGAAAGCGGCCTTGCATGCCAAAATGGCTGAGCTTCACGAAGGTCTCGTCACCATCAGGGCGCACAAGTTGCAGCGAGCCAAGCACATCTCATTTTTGGACAAACTCGAGCGCTCTCAGCGGCCATTCTACATCATGTATGTCATTCAGGCCTGGCTTCAGCTTGTGTTGAATTGTATTGTGGCGGGTCTTTGCACCGCTGTGGTTGGCTTGTCGGTGGGCATGCGGAACTCGACATCTGCCAGTCGCGTTGGCCTATCCATGCTGAACCTCGTCACGCTGGGGCAATCACTTGAGGATCTCATAGAGCCATGGACACAAATGGAAACTTCCCTGGCCGCAATTGCACGAATCAAGTCTTTTGAGATGGATACGCCTCAAGAACACCGTGGTGTGAATGTATTGGATGTTCCAAGCGACTGGCCCACGGACGGATCGTTGGATCTTCAAGGCGTGTGGGTGACATATTCTCCTGAGGGCGAGAAGGCTGACTGGGCATTGCAAAATGTGACATTCCGCATTGCGGCCGGAGAAAAGGTGGCCATCTGCGGCAAAACGGGTTCCGGAAAATCAACGCTTCTACTGAGTATTCTTGCACTCCTCGAGCCATCACGAGGCGCTATTGTCCTCGACGACATGGACATTACTCGTGTGCCACAGAATATCCTACGGACCAGGATTGTCACTGTGCCACAAGAGCCATATTTGCACGGAGACAGTGTTCGCAATGCTATGGATGCTGGAAGTGATGAGGCACTTCGGGAGGTGCTTCAGGCATGCGGACTCCTTGATAAGATCGAAGCGGGCGGTGGGTTGGATTCTTCACTTTCTGCTTTGAGTTTGTCTGCCGGACAGACGCAGCTCTTTGTCTTGGCTCGAACCATAATTCATGCAGGGAAGGCTCAAGGCGGATTGATTTTGCTCGATGAGTCCACCAGCAGGTAAGTTTCCATGATTTGCACTCTAACCCTTCTTCTTTTTGCTGATCCGCAGCGTAGCATTGATCATGTGGCAGCACATGCCATGTTAAAGCTAGTCCGTGCCAGGCTACCTTCCAAGACTGTGCTTTCAATCCTACACGATCTCGAGGCTGCAATGGAGTTTGACCGGATCATAGTGCTCGACGAGGGAAGAGTGACTTGTGATGGAAATCCTGCCGATGTGCTGCAGGAGTCTGAGCTGTTCTCGTCGTTGCGAAAGGATCGAAACTACAGCACAAGACACGTGTAGTACAACTAATCAAGTCAATGCTTGAGGTCTGCACACATCTCTGCCCACCAGATATCCATCGCCTGAGCACGCATTATGCCGTCCTTGTTGAGATCGTCCATTGCCTTTCTCACCATGGACACCCCGGCCAAGATCTCCTCTTCCTGCCACTGCGCTAGCTTCTCCTTTCGCACCGCAGCTTCGAAATTAGCCGAGAGAACGTATTCTACTTCGAGATGTGCCTCCGGCATGTCCTCCGCTGGGCTGAGGTGACCTTCTCTGGCCACCACGAAACTTGCGTCCGATGCAGCTCTCCGGATGTCGTTGACCTCGGGCGCTGCACGTACGTTTGGCTCTCGCGGGTCAGCCACAAGACGAACACCTTTGCTCGCGTGGAGCCGTGCTTGTACCCTCGCTGCCAGGACGTGCGGCATTTGCTCGCGCTTCGAAGCCGCGAAATCATACTCGGCAACGTACACCCTCGAAATCCCAGCGCCGGCGAGCGCTTGAAATAACGACGCTACACTGGCAGCAGTGGGAAAATACCACAAGCTTAAACACAGCGTTGCAGCATCGAATCGCGGCGCCTTCTCGCCACGGCCCGCTAACATCGTTTCTGCATCTGTGCGCAAAAAGCTGATTTGCGGGCCAAACTCCGTGTGCAGGAGGATGAAGTTGCGTGTCTCTGCGACGGTATGCGGACTGCCGTATTCTGGTATTGCCGTGTCGATGCCGGTTATACGTGCTCGTGGACCCAGACGCAGAGCGAGCGTGATCGACGACTCGCCGTGCCCGCAGCCGATGTCGAGAATTGAGCTTTCTGCTTCAATGGCCCAGGCACTTACAATGTCCAGACGCAGCTGGAACCGCGGCCTGAATACGCGCTCACGATGTCGTTCGTGGATTAGGAAGTTTTTCAGCAGTTTGTCCACTTCTTCTTTGCTTCTGCGGTCTTCTTCTTGCTTGTTGTCATCATCTGGCGCCGCGTTGCACAATGCCATTTTCTTTTTCATCCATGAATGAGTCGAAGCCTGGCGGTCCCGAATCCGTGGACGCGTCAACATTGGAAACCCTCTGTTATGCTTCGGTTGCCATGGTAAGTCTCCCCAAGACGCTTGGCGTGAGAAGTAAGTTCGCCGCGCCTATTTTATCTACATGCTGGAAAGGCGGCGCCTCGACAGCTCCTGCAGCTCTGAAACGGCATCGAACCCGCCTCCCGATCGAATGTATTCGTCATCGACAAAATTGTCAACGGAGCAGTGGGCAGATGATAGACGGTTCTTCAGCTCTTCGTCGATCTCGTTATTAACAATCTATCGCTTTCTACGCTCAGCTGACCCGAACTAATGCTCCAGCTCATAATTCTCCTCTGGCTCCGCTCTGTTTCGCAAAGCCCATTGCTGAATCTGATGATAATTCCGGCATTTCCTCTGAAGGTTGAAATCCGGCTTCATGCCTGTCGGTCTGGAGGCATCTTTGATGAAAATCATGGGCGTCACGTCGGAAGTGCACATCAGTTGCTTGCGCAGAGTTTCGATGCAGTGGTCAATGTGTCCACGCACGATTTCCTCCGGAGCGCGAAACGCCGTCACGTCGCTGTAGTCGTAGCTGTCGCGATACGTGTATTGTCGGATCATGTTCTAAAGGAAGCATCAGTTTTCTTGCTGCTAGAGAAGGTGGTTCGAATAGAGCATACCAAACAGTGCAGCTCGTGGAAGACGTTCAGAATTGCGAGCACGCCGCCACCATACTGCGGTGCAGCATGGGTGTAAAGGTCGACGTTGGTTTTGTTTAGAGCAGATAGCTTGCTCTCGGGGAATTGTATCCTTGGAACTGAATGGTTGTTCGTCAATGATTGTTCCAAGCATCGACGGCATGGTGAATAGAAGGATCTTACGACGCCACAATTCCTTCCACGCCATCTCTATATCCGGCGTTGGCTGGCCTCGGTACGGAGAGGGCTGCATCAGATGATTCTCTTCTGTGAATGTGGTGTATTGCAGGACATTGGTGTCTATGTAAGGGGCTGCATGGCGATTGTCAGTCAGCATCAGGAGTCGCTGTCATTGACAGACGTTGTCCCGCAGAATACTCACAGTATGGCGAAAGCTGGGCACCACAAACGGCGTCGCTGTTGTTGGGCGTCGACGACAAGGCAATGTAGAGTACAAGGAAGGCAATTGCTGTTGATTGTATTGCCAAGAGCAGCACATGCACTGTAGAACTTGCCCAGTGTTGGTGTTGTCGCGCAGGCTTTCCGGACTCGCCTCCGTCGTCGTCGTTCGTGCCAAGCCGCTCGTACGAACTTCGTCTCCAGGTGCCAAACATTCCCGTGGTCAAAATTTCGAACTGCAACAGACACCGACACAGCAGCTTTGTCCGGCCCGGCCATGTCCCATTTGTCGGTGTCGAGCTCGACACTGGCGCGACACATGTGTCTGACGTCTGCGCCTACGCGCGCCTTGATCAACCATGGCGCCAAAATGAAGGCGCCAAAGCATTCGAGCTTCAGCCGCCACAGGCCCCTGATAGAGTATTGATGATGGTCCGCGCAACAAACATGCCTTTTGCTGCGATCAGAGGAATGGTTGGTCCGAGCAGCACAAGAAACTGGTGGCCTGGCCCTCGATACACTGCCATCAAGGAGTATGACGATGGCGACTCACGGAGGCCTGCAACCGCTTGGTGCCATGCGATCAACTCCGCTCTGCTTCTCGCTTCGGCCATGTTCATTGCAGCTTTTCTAGGCACAAGGACGGCGATGGTCATATCAAAGTCCACGTCCACATGTCCTCGCCACGACCCACTCAGCTCTCCAAGTCCAATGCTCAGCAAAGGAACCAGGATCCCATTTCTGGAGAACGGTACGTACGTCTACACCCAACATCAATCGAAACGTTCTGACCTCACTCTCCCCGTCTTGCAGTCCCTTCAAAACCCTCAAACTTCACTCCCCACGAAATCCTGGGTCTCCCCGCGACGGTGGAGTCGAATAAAGCCTGGCATGCACTGATCGGCCGTAAGTAGGAGGCATCTCGCTCGCCACGAGATATATCCCAGCTAACGACCTTCGAAGCATCGAAAGGCTACATCGAAATCGCTCATCCCGAACGCTACGGTTTGCCCGAGGGCATCACACATCCCTCCGACTCAAGCAAAAGCATATATGGGTTGGCGATGACCCATGAGCTACACTGTTTGGTATGTGCAAGCGTCGAGGGCTTTCTTCATAGAGCGGCAACTGATATCGCTCTTCTTTCCAGATCCGGATCCGCACCGCATTCTACGATCTCGTCGAAGGCCGGTTGACGCCCGAGGATTTCCACAGTCCGCCTCGGCGGGAGCTCACAAAACTTCTTGCTTTGGACCATGGCGCTTTCCATCTCAACCATTGCTTCGACTACTTACAGGAAGGCATTCGCTGTGCTGCGCACCTCGATGTTCAGTATCCGGTTATGCATGGTGGGGCGGGAATCTTGACGGGTGAACGAATGTGTAAAGATTGGGTATGTCCCGGTGTTATTCCCCCTCGGCTTGCGTTCGGCTCTTCAGATTGCGTACTGACTTGGATTAGGACGTTGTTCTTGGCATTTTGGAAGATAACTCGTTTGATGCTTCTAATATGACGCTGTAGATATGGTAGGTAGGCTGACAGTAACACAGAATGATGGTGTCGCTGAAACATGCTCTTGGTGTTGATCTTCGTTACTTCGTTTCAACATACGCCGTCTATGCAGCAATCGCCATCGCCATCGCCATCGCCACCGTCGCAAGATAGACCCGGACGTACGTCTTTTCGACTCTGATGGACCTCGGCCATAGCTATCTATACTGTCGCTATACCTTTTCCATCGTAATAGTCTGCAGGTGTATATTCTAAAGAGAGGACCTTATCCTAGTCGGTCGATAATTAAAGACAGGCAGCAGGTTGTACCTTATACCGCTGCTTTGAATCCGCAAAGCGATCCGCGTCTTATAGGTAATGTATCTCAAAAAGCTTGATAAACTTCAATAATAACGTTAGTCGATCGGTTTAGCACGAATATGTTGCTATATATCAACGCAGAGATTCCGGGCTTTGTATTTAAGATAACAGACAAAAAAAAAAGACGAACGAACGCTCTCTATCTAGCCTCCTTTCCCCAAATCATCCACCAGCTCGGGTCGTGATATTAGTTTGGCTAGCCTCCTCACATCTCTAAGCCTATACAAGAAAGCATAAGGAAAAATCCAATCCTGTACAGGTATTCTATTATTCATTCAAAGAAGCATCAATAAGTATAACAAAGCTCCTCACTCCCCGCATCAATTGCCCTCCAAACAGGCACATCCTCAAAGAACCCCCCAAACAAAAGCAAATCTTGTAAATTTGCATTGTAGTCGGTCGAATTAAACATATGCCGACCTTCATACGCACGCAACCGAACTCGCGGCTTCTGTTGCTGCCATCTCCACCAGATGTGATCGAGCTGGGCATGATGGAGGAAGAATAAAGGGTCTATTATATAGAGAACAAAGAATCCTCAAAATCAGTTTTTTTTTCTTTGCTCGCATCTCGAAAGTTTCTTGTTTTTTTTTGGGGTTTTGGTTTTGGTTTTGGTTTTGGATTCAGGACGGACCTCAACTCACCATTCGCGGCAGTCAAAGCCAAAAAATCCCCCCCAATACTCGGATGCAAAGTATTATGCAACCGGAACTCCAAATCCGCTTGGAAATCTCGATAGCTCTCCTGCCGCATCAGTCGTCCTATGGCTTCGGGACTATACCAATGGCCATCGATTTCCCCGTTGTCCGAGAAGCCGCGCGAGAGACAGTGGGTTATGTAGGTGTGATTGTACATGATGGGGCGGAGATGGGCGAAAGGACCATCCTCGACGCATGTGCCGTTGCCTACGGTGATTTCTCCACTGGCATTGCCGTTGCCGCCGAAACCGGTGGTGGGAGACCAGATGGAGGAGTTGGCGACGTTCATCCAGTCGAGGGTCCAGTCCCAGTATCTGTGTCATGTCAATCAATCAATCAGAGGGAATTTTTGTGGGTTCTGATAGGAGTGAGTGAGTACGAACGGAACATGACCTGCGTAACCACAGTGATGCCGCATCGTTTTCTCCCATTGGTTCAGTGTCCATCGATGCCAGGGGAGGAAAGATGCCGAGCGATGACCTGTCATCAGAAGAGGGACTTTCCATTAGAAAAAATTTCCTCAACATTTGCCGTCATCACAAAGAAATCCAACTCACACCACGACCCGATCGTCGCATGAAGGTAAGCGAAATCATCATTGACGCTCCCATTGCGTGTCCACTGCGAAGGCGTCTCGGCCAGACAATTGACCGAGCGGACGAAATCCTCTCTCTCCAACGTCGTCAGGGCGCGCCACTCTTGTCGTACAACTGGATTGACGCAAGAAGAAGCAGGAGTTGAAGACGGCGGTAAGCTCTGCGTCGGGAGACGGAGGGAGATTTCCCAGCCGATTGTAGCCCAGATCAAAAATCCCAGAACGAGTTTTAACAAAAGCCGGTGTGTTTCCAATATGGATCGGTTCGAAGGCGAAGAAGAAGCGTCCTCGCTATTCAGAAAAAAAAAAATCAAAATCAAAATCCGAAAACGTCTGCAGGGGACATCATGTCTCGCTCAACTTCCCAGAATGCCTTACCCAACTGCTTCTTCATCTTCATCTTCGAGAATCTTAGGATCGCCGCCACCACCACCATCACCACCACCAAGTGGAAGATATTGCCATCGCTTGATCCGCCGCCACTTTCGTGTCATCATCATGTTTCTTGTTTGTCCCGTCCCGTCCCTTTCGCAAAATTTCCATCATCACAAGTTCGATGCCGGCATAATCGAGTGATTGATCCCAATGGCGCCGCGCCGCGCCCGCCGAAAAAAAAGTCTTTCCAGACATGCATGCATGCATGACTTGTCGTGGCGAGGCGCGCCGCCATGGATCTTCGCGCCTAGGTGTATTATTATTCTACAGCGTAAGTGAGTTCGATGCGCCAAACTCGTTTCGCGCACTTTATTACCGGAAGTTCTTGAATCTTGTTTTCTTTTAGGCATATTGCGGGTTGTAAGGGGAAAGGAAAATAGGAAGAGTGATATTTTTTTCCAAGCGCCAATGGTAGAATGACTGTGATCTTGAAGCGCCAAAGGCAGATACATGTACGCTACTAGATGGAAAATTTAACGAAAAATTCGAGAAAAGAATCGAACCTGCTGGGCCGCTAGAATTCTCAACAAGCTGATCATGCCAGGTACGCGTGATGATATCTGTCACCTGTAAGCTTGTGGTGGGAGGGGGAGTGGAAACTATGCAGCAGTGATGGATTCTGAATCGAATTTGCCTATACATAAAAATCAACAGCAGAGTTATATATCGCCGCACCTGCTTGCCGATGTCAAGACCACTCCGACACGGTTGCAACCGTACCAGGGGCTGGTGGCACGGCCAGACTGCCATTATACCTCTCGGAAACCCAATCCCGCACCTTGCTCCAGTTCCGGCAGGTGTGCGGCTGATTCGAGTCGATGTAATTATCACCGAGACTGAGGTAGAATTTCGAAGGAATGGGGGTAAGATCTGCGTTGCACATGATGGTTTGTCGGAGATGGTCGAGACAGTGATCTAGAAGATGCCTATTATCAGCAATTCTGCCGCGAATTTGTTTGCCGGAAAGACGCTGCGCAACTCACCTCTGTGCAACGTTCCGTGTACCGGGCTGTCTTCATGATATTGTTCTGGATATAAGGACTTGCGGATGTGATCGAGGCAGTGGAGGGTATGCATGACTTCGAGAGCTGCGACGTAGCCTCCTTGTCTAGGACTCCAATATTGTTGATACTTGGAACCCCAAGCAGCCTGCGCTTCCTCTTGAGACAAAAGGAAGAATCGACCCCAGTGTAGAAGGGCCCACTCGTGATCGATGGAGCGGCGCGGCTCGCCAATGTATACAGGTCTCGAGATGCCATCATCAGGAACGTATTCGGTGCCATCATCCAAGAATTCTGGACTGCCGGTAAAAACCGTGTCATGGAGCTCGATCACCGATTTGGCTGGCTCTATCTAATTGATTCAGTCATCAAGGGATATGTCGGTAGGGAACGAAGTGCTTACCCAGTTCATATGCGAAGCCACGTGCGAATGAGCCGTGACGTGTGACTGTCCGCAGCGTCCACCAGAGGCGTAAAATTACGGCCAAGAGTATGGTCGTGGTGATGGTGAAGCATGCAATGAGCCGCCGCTCTCTCCTTCGAGAATGCCGTTGAAATGCCGGTCGAAGTTCTGCATACAAGTCGTTCTCCTGCTTCCAGTTCTCGCTTACGTCGCTGCTTGCATTTGAGGACATCCTGTCGGCTGTGATGGATGTGGCGAAGAATGAAAGACCAAGAAACGATCCAACTTCACAGAACTCGCCGAACTCAAGGCCCGACTTCAGATCATGGGCTGCAATCGAGAGCTCTGCCTAGCTGATTGACATTCAGACGGACGCCGTAAGCTTGCTGACCCCTGCCACTTTGATGCTGTATTGGCGCCCGCGCCCGCGCCAGCACACCGCGCCAGCGCCTCAAGCCACGCTTCCGTATTGGGTTCGTCCCAATAATATTGTGATGCCTCGTGCCATCCCAATGTGGAGGGCAGATGAACCGCCTCCAAAAAGCAGAAAACACGACCATGAAGCTCACAATTTGCCTGCTTGCGATTGGTGCAATTGCTGCGGTAGCACTGCCAGTGCTAGTACGCCGTGCAATCGACAAGGTACCGGCGGAGACACCATCCGGCGTAATGGATGTTTTCTGACTCATCTCTAACAGCATCTAATCGATGACGCTTTGCATCGCAGTGCTGTGAGTAAAATCAGCGGTTGTCGCTGCTTCGAATTAGACGAGAGGCTGACCAAAGATCCAGTGTAGGTCGAAGTGACGTGACCTCGTGCTCGGAGGCACGGGCGAAATAGTCATCTGCTAACGCCTTCGCAGAGTCCGTAACCTCCACAGCGTACCATCAAGCTAGCATGGCTACTAATCTCTCGGTTGCAGCGCGCTGGAGGACTTTCATGAATTCGACGAGTGATAGTGGACGAGGCGATGCGATCGCCCGAATGAGATCCGCAGTCTTTCGCCCTGCTTCGTGGGAGCAAGCGTTCATTATGGGCAGCTTGGGGGAAGATACGTGAAAGGGGGGTTAGCGTAGGCGTGTGAAGATGGAAAAGGATGCTGGGGATTTACATCGTCAACGAAATTGAGGTACTGATCGTGGTGGGGCTGCTTCCTTCAGCAAAGAACCACAGGCAAAGGAGGGCTGTTGATTATTATGATGGAAGATGTGCCGAGGAGAACGGCATCTGCTCTCTGAATTGCATCGAATGGTTGCTTTCTGATGTTCCCACGCAGTAGCCTTCGCCATATACAGCCTCCGCGGTGTCCATCCATATGGAGCCGGGGTGAAAGATATTCTCCAACGTGAAGAAGCGTCGGCAGTCTGCAGCTTCATATCTGAAATGCCGTGGTGTCTCATGATCGTCGTCGTCGTAGGAACTGCGAAAATTGATGCCGCTCTTGCCGTGCATGTCAAATCGCAATGGAAAGTTGGCAGGTAGAGGGGGCATCAAGTTCTGGAGCTTCGCAAGCAGATACTCATCTTCGGCTTTGTGGTGAGTCTTGGCTGCGTTACTGACCATCTCAAGTGCCATAGCGATGTATTGGCCGATTGTGGAAACAGACCAGTACTGCGCGCCCTTGTTGCCTCCGACGGCTTGTGCAGATCCGTAACGAGGACGGCCGCCAAAGGTGACGGTACGTACGCCATAGATTTGCATTTGTTGGGCAAAAAGTGCACAAGTCGAGGAGCAGCGTCCGTTTGTGAGCTGTGCATGGACTCTTAGTGAGTGACGTTCACAGTTCTCGTGGCGTTGACTCACCATGACCATGTCTCGGGCTTGGAAGAGAGCGGGACTTTTCCATCCACTGATTGCAGATCGCAGAGTAGACGTGGCGTTCACGTCAAATGGAGCATATAAATGCGACATGCTCGTGCCTTGATACTCATGAGGGCCATACAGCTCATTCCATGACTGGAAGACATGTTTTTTAGTGGTTGGATCAACAGCATCGTGCGGAAGGAGAGTGAGGTCGATCGGCGCTTTTCCGGAGGCGAAATTCGTGGAAAATATCTGGCCCATAATGTCTACCAAGTCGTGAGCGCGAAAGCGTGTTGCTAAGTACACGTCCTGATCAGGGAAGAGTAGACGGAATAGGTTCAATCCCACATCGACCTCGCCGCCGTTGTTGTCTGAGAGGTCGATGATCAACTTCGTCTTTCCGTGTGTTAGCGCGTTTTGCAGCATCTGCTCTATTGCCGCGACGTAGTTGCTATCACCACGATCCACCCTGAAAGATGGCACTTGAAGTACAGCAACGTCGGGAAAGCGGGCACTCGGCAAGTAATATAGCTTGACGGGAGTATCACTGTGCTCCATGTCAGGCTCGGGGTATGTTTTGGCGGCGCTCGCGGCGTCGTTCACGGCGTCGTTGGCAGTTCTCTCCATTCCAAGGGGGGAAGCGGCATTCGGCAGACAGGCCGCCGTGAACAAGTCCGACGCATGCTCGTAGATCATGGGACCGTTCGCAGCGGGCCACTCGGCATAAGTATCGACCGTGGTATAGGAACCGTTTGCGAATTTGAGGCGATAGCTCGCTGCTCCAGGCCAGAGGCCCTTGTAGCGTGTCCAAGCGCCACCCGAGTAAGCTCCTGACAGACGGGCAGCTGGTGAAGGAAAGAGATGATTGTAGCGAGCATCAGGATCGTGGGCGTCAAGCCACATGGCGACGTCTGACTCTAGATAGTAGGTGGCATCGATGCCATTGATCTCCACCACTGGCGACACGTGATGCAGATGATGTGCTTGGCGCCGCTGTGCATCGTCAAATGTGTATATGGAGGGAAGGCGGAGGCCATCGTGTGAGACGGACAGCAGAGGCAGGTGCCGCGCGAAGAGGAACAAATGCTGCGAGCACAACTCGATTTGCAGATGGCCGTCGTGGGCCAGGGAGAGCAAGCGGTTCAAGTCGCTGTCGAAGTCGAAGTGGCTCTCATAGTGGCCGCTTGCTGCACGACTTCGAATCTGGGCGAGACCGGCGAGCAAGTCGATTGACGGCGACAGGTACGTCGGAGGCGGGTCTTGGCAGCGGTGTTAGCGGCGGTGGCGGTGGACCTCATCGAGACGTACTGGGCAAGACGGCAAGCGTCGAGTGGAAGAGCAGATAGGGGCGGTAGGCGTCAATGAACGCCGTGGCCAGACTGGAGTTGAAGGGCATGCCGCGCAGGCAATCCAAAGCCAACTGGCCCGGGATGCTTGGCATGTCCGCCAAGCCGGTGGAACTGTTTGTGTGCCAGATTCGGTACCGCTCGGCGATCTTGGCACACGGCCGGTCGGTGTCGGTGTCGGTGTCGCGGGCGGTGGCCAGACAACGACAACAAGTTGCTGCCACCACTGCCACCACTGCCACCAGCACGCACTGCCAGCGTGAACGCATCATCGCCATTACCATCGCCATCACCATCACCGTCGTCGCCGTGTGTAGTACATATCAGCATCGTCTCCACACCGACCTGCTTGCTTTGCAGATTGCAACATCATGGTCGATCGAACGCCTGCGCCTGCGCCTGCGCCTGCGCCTGCGCCTCTGCACGCCGACACTACGCGCCTACGGTTCGCGCCTTTCGATGCAATCGCGAGGCGCGACGGGATACAGTAGTTGTGATGCTGGCCTGGCTGATAGTATACACGCGTACATGGAGATATGCGCACATCCATCGCGTGCTCTGCAGCCACCCACCCCGTATTCTATGGACCCCACTCGATCAATTGATCCTACTTGCGACAAATGGGAGCGCAAACGCCTCCTCGAAGCCAGCATTCCAAACGAGAAGCAGAAAGAGAAGAGGTGGTGTAGCGCTGTGCTGACTATTGCCCTGCTCCTCCTCGCCACCCTGCTCTCCACCACGCTCGCTGCTGTGCTGGCCTGGAAGCTGCACTACACGCGCCATCCGCATACCGTTGCATGGTTCCCTCCAGACGTGCCTCGCGAACAAACCTTCAAGTTTCAGCCCATCTTTGGGGCTAATCTTAGCGATGAAGCCGAGCGGGCCTGGACAAAACTGATCCCCAGTGCGTACATCTATCCATTCATATCACCACCCAAGCAACCACACTGACACTGCCATTTTGCAAAGAGGGCAAGGGATTCGTCCACATCAACAACGAGAGCCCCTTGGACCCTGCCCCGGGCCTCGACCTGTCGCTGCCGCATCAGCGTGCCATGGTGGCTGTCTTCCATCAACTGCATTGTCTCGTACGCACATCCAGCTTCTTGATCCTCCCTGATCTACTGATTGATGACTGACCATCTTCCACGCATGCAGTACATGACCCGGAGCGCCTACTTCTCCGCCCGCGCGGGCAATTTCGACGATGTCCATGAAGAGCATTTGTCGCATTGCTGGGATTATTTGCGACAAACGCTCATGTGTGCTGGTGACACGACCCTGGAGTGGGTGGGAGCTCCACCACATGATCTCGGAAGCTCGGGTTGGGGCTATCGTCATCAGTGTAGAGATTATGCCGCCATCTATACGTGGGCGGAAAAGCACCGTCTGACCAATACAAAGAAGATCCATACCTGACCTACAAGACGCCTAGTAGTAGAGGCAAATCGATATTTTCTGCAAGGCGGAGAAAGAGCTCTGCCACTGATTTCGTTCTAGATGAGTTCGAGCTTAGCGTTTCGATAGACAGTCGCGAAACATTTGCCTACGCTTCAAGTCTCGAAGCGCACCGCATCTTTCGAGCCTGTTCTCGCACTGCTCGTATATATATACCTCTATCGAAGACTTTGAATCTTTGCCGTTAGTTACTCCGTAAATCGCTTATATATGTTTTAAGTCTATTAAATCTCGCTATTAGTTCTAAATCCTAACGCCGTTATCTAAACCGTAATTCCAAAAGTTCTAAGAAGTTACTTATCCTATCCTCCTATCTACGATTAAAAAGTTAGTACTACTTATCCTTATTCTACTCCTTAAAACCTAAACTTACTACTAGTCTAAACCTGCCCTATCCTCCCTAGTTCCTAGTACGCTAGTACTCCCGCTACTACTAGTAAACTCCCGAAAACCTCTACTATTCCTATAGCCGCTAGCCGCTCCCTATTCTATAAAAGCTATTAACTAAATTATATATTCTATATAGTTATACGAATTAAAATTTTAATTGAAAAATCTACTAAAGTAGCTAAAAAGTAGAATAAAAAAAGCTAGATAGATTAGGTATACCGAAATTAAAGTAAGGAATTAGAGTATTAAGGTTATTAGGATCGTACTAGGATTAGTTACTAGTTCTAAAATAAAAGAAAGGATAGATTAGAGTTAGATAGAGGGATTATAAATATACTATTTTTTTATTTATGTTTAAAGGGCTAGTAGTATAGGACTCGATTAGAGATATTTTAACTTAAAGTTAACTTATATTAGAGAAGTAGTTAGTTATATAAATTAGATCTATCTTTATCGATTACCGGGAGAGCAGATAAAGTAGAGAATTACATACGAATTCTATTTAGAAGCCTTAGACTAGAGAGCTACTATAATAATATACTAGCGATAACTAGCTATAGTCGTTTCTATCTTAGGTTAGTATCTCTATTCTATCTCTATTTAGACCCTTATAGCTAGCGGAATAACGTTATAGTTTGTTTATAAACCCCTTATAGGATAAGGGCCTTACAGGATAAGGGAACTCTAGGTCGCTAGTATATATTAGGTTTATTAGATATCGATTTTAATTTTATAGGATAATACTAATTTTTCAATAATCTAAGTTTATAAGCTATAAGAAGTTGTTTGTTCTGTCCTTTTGTTTGCGATTTAGAAGTTAGTAACTATTCTCGTCTCGCTTCTTTGAAACCTTAAAGAAGCGCGATTTAGCGAGCGGAGCTAGGACGTTATAAGCAAGACAGCTTCCTTCTGCCTTTACCTTGCACTGCCTAAATGTCAAGCTGTGGATGTCGATTACACTGGTTCATCGCATTACAGTACAAGACATTCGACTCCTCACACAATGATAGTCGAGGCCCGGAAATATGATTCCGACCGAAGCAGAAAACGCGTCGCGTCGACGCGTCCCAATCCTGGGCGGAAGAGACTCTAGATGGCACCTCCTCTGCGAAACGCGCAAAGCAGAAGCCAGTCGATGGACGTCTAGACTTGTGGCTGTAAGGTGTCTGAGCTTGTCCCAGTGCAGTGCTTCTAATTGTGTACTATAGTGGCCAGTACGCTGACACCCAAACCTTCCTCGTCGGTGCGGAAGCGACACCATTACTGCTGCACTATCTAGTGTTGCAGAGACGCTGGCCCAAGTTTCTCCAAACAAATGGCTTTCGATACTCGGCTGATGGCCGCCGATCGTACGATCTGACCAAGCAGGATCACAAGACCTTCGAAGTGCTAGCGACTTGGATTTACACCGGACGGATACCAGCATCACCAAATGCCGAAGCAGACATTGCTAGCCAGCGTTTGGTGAAGGGAGTCAGGCTGAGCTCGGAGAATCCATGGCATGATAAAGAGAATATATACCCGAATTGGAGGGACGAAGACTTGGTAGACCTGTGGTTGCTTGCATGCGAGCTTGACATTCCTGAGCTCGCGGATGCAGCGATTTCAAGTCTCTTCGAGCAGAACGTGTGGTTCCAGCATACCACCTCCCTCGAAGCTGTCAATAAAGCTTTCGCGAACGTGCAGAACGTGACCAAGCCGACGTTGCTGCAGAAGTATCTTATCGACGAAGCAGTCTACTATCTTGGCGATAAGCATGTTCCACGGAAGACGGACCAGTACCCTTCTTCCTACATATCTCGTGTGTTCGAGAAGATTATGCGCATGAAGCAAAATCCGTATCACGACAGGCCTGATGATAGCGATGGTGACAGGGAATCCGATGCCAATGACAGCATTGAACTCTGTAACTACCACTTTCACTGGACGGAGGGCGAGGACGAGGCTGCAATGCTCATGGTGAGGCAATGTAATGTGTCAAGGTCCGGCTCACAGGGCGAGGAAGGCGTTCCCGAGCTGCCTCCTATCCACGACAGGTAGGTCACCACGCTTGCTATGGTGACTTCGTCTAATCCTGTGTAGTGACCGCTTGCAAGATGCCATGACCATTTTCGTCGGTCCTGATGCGGTACCTTTTATGTTGCATAAAGACCTCATATTTGAGATTGAATTTGCAGGAGGCTTCCGCGCACCAGCGGCGACAGAACTCGAAATGCCGAAAGAACACCCTGCGATCTTTTGCATGTTCGTCGAGTGGTTGTACAGAGGCAAACTACGTCCTGTTCCTGCAGCGGCTCGACGAGCTATCACCAAGATGAAAGACGCAGACGACAAGTCCACCGAGGACGACTCTGATAGCATTATCTGGACTTCACCATCTCATATCACCGAAATACGTAGGCCTGAAAGTGACGCAGAGAAAAAGGGCCGACAAGATCTGCACTCGATGTTTGCTGTCCAGTGGGATCTCATTGAGCTCTACCTTTTCGCCAACCGTCGGAGCATTCCAGCCCTCAAAAATGCGATCATTGATCGCCTAGTGCAACTTCGCAACGACAACTGGCGCCCCATCACCGGATATCCCCACCTAATGAGAAGAATCCGCGCCAGCCTTCCCCGGAATTCGAAGCTCTGCTTGTATCTGGTTCAAGAAGCAGCGCACTTTTGGGATTCTGGCCTATTTCTAAAACATCGAGTTGACCTCCACATTTTCCCGAAATTACTGCTAGAGGAGATCACCAGAGCTATCTACGAATCTCGCCTGGGGACTGAAGATCATGGTCCTTCATGGGCTGCCGATGTTTGTTATTTCCACGAACATGATAGACCTGCACAGCGGCATCAATGTGTGCGTGACCATAGTACATGGCAGGCTGAATTGAAGCGCCGAGGTGAATACGAGAAGCCGGATCATGAGGTGCCGGATATGAGCTGGCTGATGAAGATCATTGAGATTCGTGGAAGTCAACGATGTGCCTGAGATGTTCGATTCTACGTAATGCGAAGGGCGCGTGGTAGTTTCTACTCAAATGCCTCAGTCCGCACTCTCGACTTCTGACATCAGCTCCAAGTATCAAGACAAATGCAAAACATTTGCCTACGCTTCAAGTCTCGAAGCCTACTACATCTTTCGAGCCTGTTCTCGGATCGCTCGTATTCATACACATACCTTCACCGAAGACTTCGAATCTTTGCCGTCACCACCGTGAGTCGCTGATGCATGGTAAGCCTAATGAATCTCGCCATCAATTCTAAATACCAACGCCGTTTTCTACGCTATGAGTCCAAAATTTCAAGTTCCAAGAAGTGATTCATCCCACCCTCCTACCTACAATTCCGAAGTTAGTCAGTACTCATCCTCGCCTCCCTTCTTCAAAACCTCAACTCACCACCAGGCCAAACCCACCCCATCCTCCCCAATCCCCAACACGCTAACACTCCCGCCACCAGACACCCTACAATCTCAACCCCCGCAACCGCTCCCCAACCCACGAAAGCTATCAACCAAACCACACACCCGGCATAATCATGCGAACTTGAATGTCGGTGGAAAATTCTGCTGAGGTGGCTGAAGAGTGGGATGAAGAGGGCCAGGTAGATTGAGTGGACTAAAACTGAGGTGAGGAATTGGAGAGTTGAGGTTGTTGGGGCGGTGCTGGGATCGGTTCGTGGTTCTCGGATGAAGGAGAGGGCGGATTGCAGTTGGGTGAGGGGGTTTTGGAGGGACATTTCTTTTTTTTTCTTCGTTTGGAGGGCTGGTGGTGCGGGACTCGATCAATTGGAGATGTTTTTAGTTGACTTGTATCGGAGGAGAGGTTGGTTGTGTAATAAGGTAGGTCTTGTCCTTAATCGTGAAAATTACCCTAACAGAGAGACCTTTACTTGTTGTAGTTCAGTCAGGTGATATGCTAGTTAGCTGATACGATTAGCTGACCTGTGCTAAGAGGAAGGTCGTATAATAGGTATATTAACTGCAGTTTCTATAGCAGGCTCCTAATTCTTCTTTATATAGTTATATAGTTGTTAATCCGATAATTAGTTATATCTATAGTACGATTTACAACAGGTTATAAGCCCGGCGTATACGCTCACCTATCTAGTTTAACTATAAAGAACTGTTTCTAGAGTCTACTAAACAGAGCTAGCTATCTAGACCTATTAGGTACCTAGTTAAGAGCTCTAGTTCGGACTAAAACCTAGCAAGTGTCCCTTATAAGCCCTGCCTAGCACTATACTAAAAGGCAGCTAGGAACGATAGATACTAATTAGACAAAGATAGTAAAGGAGAATTAGGTTCTTAGGAAGGGGATTAGCTTCTAGGACTAGAAGCTTGTGTTCTAGGCGGCCCTTCTAGAAAAGGACCTAGTTAGTATAGTATTCTATAGACTTAACTAGGCTAATAAAATAAAACTATCTTTAAAAAGCATGTTTATAGGGGACTTAGCCGATTAGTAGTATAGAGATATGTTTAGGGACTAGAAAAAGAAAGATATCTAAGCCCTAGGCATACTTATTACTAGACTCGACCCTGCCCTTAGACTAGACTTTAGTAATATACCTAAGTTAGCTAAGGATATATACGACTACATTAAGGCTCTATATAAGCCTATTATAACCGTAGACATATTTGATACTATTAAACTTATTAGGCATATTAGGATGCCTCTTACTAACCTAAACACCTAGCAGTACTGCGAATCTTTTTAGCAATAGTTCAATAGATTCTAAATATTAATAGAACAATTTGCTAATTTAGTTATAATAATAGAAGTGCCTATAAAGTTATTAGACATTAAAATGCCTAATATACTTGTTAGGATGCTGTTTATTTAGGGCCTTTCTAGTTACGAATAGCTTAGATCCTAGAAGCATAACAACAAGCCTAAAGCTAAGGACTCCTCCCTTAAAGCAATAATAACGTCCCTAAGGAGAGAAAAGCCTCTTAGACAGTTATCTAGCGGCTTAAAGCTTGTTAGAGGGGCTATTAGCAATGATAACGACTAGTACACTTAGTATAAGCATAAACATACTAACGCTAAGTGCTATAGGCAACACCCTAATATAGTACTACCTAGTTAGGGAAAGAAAGACAAGAGTAAAGACAAAGACAAAGATAAAGGCAAGAAGGGTAAAGGTAAAGGAAAGGGCAAATCTAGTAGTACTATTAATAATAACAAAGATAAATTAGACTCCTCCTCTAACTCGGAAGACGAGGGAGACTATTAGCTAGACGGCCTTAGTAGGGGCCTAATTAGGGGAGCTATTACAAAGCCGGGACTAGCTATAGCAAGCTCTAAGAACCTAACAGCTAACATAAAAGTTTAGGATATAGGTATATTATAGCACATTATAGGAAATAAGAGCTAGTTTAGCGATCTTAAATACCTAACTAAGCCTGTTTAGTTCTTCTAAGTAGTAGGAAAATTAAGTGTATTACGATTAGGAACTGTTAATATCTTCCTAATCTATAAAGGAAAGGAAACCCTAATTGCTCTAATAGATGTCCTCTACTCCCCGAACTTAGATTGTAACCTAATCTTAGTAGAGCGTCTTTAGAAGAAATGTAGCGTTTACTTAGATAGACCTTTAGGCACTCTAATACTTAAAGGCAAGCTAATTAGAAGAATTAAGGAAGTATAAGGAGTACTTGCCCTTAAAGATGCTAGAGTTAAAATGCTAGGCTTAGCTTTAAAATCAAACTTAGAATCGAGTTAGAAAGGGCAGCTATTAGCCCTAGCTATCGCTAGACTATAAGCAGACATATCAAGATAGCATTAGAGACTTAGCTATATTAGCAACAAGATCCTAACAGCTGCTAAGGAAGCTATTCTAGGCCTAGAAGAAGTTAATATATCTAAACTCGAGCACTATAAGACCTATAAGCTCTCGAGAGCTTAAAGAGTTATATTAAGAGAATATAGAACTAGACTAGAGAAAGCCCTTAACGAAGTCTATATTAACCTTGTTAGCGTACAACCATTTAATCTGTTTAGAAACAGGTACATTATAATCCTAACTAATGCTAAAACTAGACCCCGTAGTAGTTCGGGTTAGTTTGGTTTAGTTTGCTAAGCCGAAACTCTAGTTTGGTTTAGGTTGGTTTGCTAAGCAACTATATAAGTAGCTAGTTCGAACTATATAATTTATCGGTTTTTAAGAGGTGTACGAATGTATACGTAGCTTTAAGCAAGCCCTTTATAAGACTTAGCAGTATAGCCGGCAGCGTAGCCGGCATTTTTAGTCCTTAGTACTTATAGAATTTTCGAATCCTACCTAGGCTACGCAGTTGTATAAAGGTACTTATATAACCTCAAATCCATAGACAATTAGCTAAGGGCACTAACTAATCAAAAGCATATATATACATATATAAGGCATTATAGTTTAGTTCGGAAACTGTACTCCTTAGGTATAAATTTTATCCTTTCGTTTACGGTTCAATTCCCTAACTGCTTAGCAGAATGTCTTTATCTAGATCTAGGCAGAACTTATCGATTTCCGTCGAAGCTCTCCTTAAGAAGTTCTAGCACTTTCCTACTAAACTATACTCTAATATTAAGTACTAGGATAGCTCCTCCCTCGACATCGGCACTATATACGAAACAGCTATAAGGCAGCTCTATAGGGCGTTCTACTAGTTACTCGCTACACTACGGCCGAATGCTAGTTCGTTCCTTAGAACTCTAGGTTATTTAGTAGATATTAAGGATAGGGCAGGCAGTAACTTCGTATTATATAAGGAAGTAGAGGCTACTATAGAGGAGTCCTTTAACCTATAGAAGATAGTAAAAGATATAGAAGCAGCTATAGGTCTAGGTATCTAGTTGAATTTCTAGTAGGTAGAGTATAAGGATATTTAGTAGGAGTATTAGGTAAAGTTGCGAAAGCAGGTATACAATACAGTCTAGAGAATAGGGACAACACCTATAACTACAAGTATTAGGTTCTTTAATCTTCCTCCTTTTTTCCTTATTTTCTTTTTATAAAAATCTAAACTAATACAAATTAACTAGAATGTCTATCTTCTTTTAGTTCTTTGTAAGACCTAGCAGCGTAGCCGGTAGCGTAGCCGGCAGCGTAGTCGGCCTTTTTACTCCTAAGTACTAACGGGTTTTTCGAAGACTTCTATTCTATACGGCTAATAAAGCATACTATACTATACAGGTATACTTAGAGAGTATTTAGAGCGCGGTACACAGCGCCGCACAATAGCGGCCCATTTCGTATACAGAAAAGCTTGTAGACGATACTACGAACATCCTTCCTACTAGTATATCTATCCTATCTAGTACTATCTCGAATATAGATATTCTAGCCTTTTAGAATCTAATCGAGTGCTTTAAAATCCTTGTCTATAATCGTTATACGCTTCGCGTAGATAGCTATAAGGTTAACCGCTAAAATAGTATTAGTATAGTCCGAAAAGAGGTAGGAGAGAAATATATATTCGAAGATACGAACAAGGTAGGCTTCTATAGCCTCTTAAAGGGCGCCGCCTATCGCGGAGGCTTAGAAGCGAAGGTTGTTAGGGCTAAAGAGGCTATACGTAATTAGTATGTAATTAGGCCGAGTAAAGCTAGGGTCTCGGTGCCTTAGGCAGGGCTTAGCGCTTAGCGTTAGGCTAACTTACCTACCTTCCTCCCTCTCCTTCTAGCTCCTTATCGAATACTACTCGTACCTACTACTACCCTATCTACCTACTAATATAACCCCTATTATATAGTATTCGATCTACCCTTTAAGGGCAGTAGCTAGATAGTTCTTATTTTAAGCTTTTAGCGGTATAGCTACGAACAAGACTAATCTAACTATATTGCGCCCGAAGAACGGGACCTATACGTACTACTCTATCGAAACAACCGTACTAATTATTAAGCAAGGCCTTCTATACGGCCTATTATACTAAATTAATCACACTAAGCCGATATCTACTAATTCCGCTATATCCGTATCTTAGGGGCCTATAATACATTATTAGTATTACCCCCTATTACAATAGCCGGCTTATTACGAAGCAATAACAACCGTGCTACCGCTAGCAGCGCTAGCAACGACAACGCTAGTAGCATAGTACCTACTAAAGTGCCTACTAAAGCACCTAC